TTTTTTTTTTTTTTTTTTTTTTTGTACTGGGGATCGAACTCAGGACCTTGTGCTTGCCAGGCAGACAGTGGCACCACTGAGCTAAATTCTTCTTCTGACATCTTCATCCTGTGTTTGATACTCTCTGGGATGCTTTTTTGGCTTCAGGGATGCTTTTAAAGTAGTGGTGAGCATATGGCACGTGTGTTATTTGTTTTTAAGACAAAAGATGTTAATGTATAAGTTGTTTTTTTCTAAACTAAAACCTCAGTATTTGGATTTAATTGGACTGTTGTCACTTTGCAATAAATAAGTGGGTTTTGGGTTGCAGATTGGGCTCTCTTAACAGGTTCACCATCACTGTTTTAAAGTATTCGGTGTCTCTTTATCATAAAGCCATTGCAAAGGCAAACAGATTTGAGGTTTTGTTTTCCATATCAAAGTGCCTTACAAATCACTTAAGAAGAGTGAACCTGTTTATATTTGTGTTGATAATCTCTTTGGGCAGGCTGCCAAAACAGAATTAAAGAATTATTTTCTAACCATATTGCTAGATTTGAAAGCACTCCATGTTCTACTGGTAGTTCTCAGGAGTTGGAAATGACTAGAAAATATACAGATTTGCTCAGTTTCTTACAATATGTAGTACTTGTTTTTGCTGTTTCAAGCAGATAAAAAAATGAATAAGATGCAAGAGAGTCAAACTTACCTGGACTATAATTTGGGCCCTATCACTTTGTGGCTGTGTGGTATTGGGAAGATTGCTTAATTTCTTTGTGCTTAAGTTTCATTTATAAAATATAAATAATAGGGCCAGGGATTTAGCTCAGTGGGTTCGCCGCCTGCTGCGCAAGCGCAAGGACCCGAGTTCAATCCCTGGTACCAAAAAATAAAAAATTAAATAAAATATAAATAATAATAATATTTATCTCAAAAGACCGTGATAATTAAAATAGTTACTATATGTAAAGTATTTAGGTGACTACTTGGACACACATTAAATGTTCAACAAAATTAGCCTTTCTTAGCCTGAAATTTACTGAGATATTAAACATTTTAATTCAGAAAGAATGATAAAGAATGCAAAATTATATTCCCTTTAAATACTTTGTTTTTATATAATTAAATACAGATAGAATAATATAGACAAACTTTTATTTATTTATTTTTTTGGTACCAGGGATAGAACTCAGGTCCTTGTGCTTGCGAGGCAGGTGCGGTGTCACTGAGCTAAATCCCTGGCCCCTGGATGAACTTTTGAAAATAAATATCTCTGGTAGAATATGTGGACCAGTTAGGATTACATTTTTTAAATATACATTTGTGAATGATTTTACACATGAAAAAATATAATCTCACAAATGCATATATATATTTCTGGGTTTATTTTAGGGGGGTGTTTTGTTTTGGTTGGTTTGGTTTTTTACCATCTGCTAGATGATTTTTAAATTTAGCTTATGTCATGGATATCTTCCTAAGTCAGTACCTATAGCCCAACCTCTCTCAATATATAGTTCAGGCTGTCCTGGAACTCAATTGTGTAGCCCAGGCTGGCCTCAGACTCATGGTGATCCTCCTGCCTCAGCCGCCTGAGTCCTGAGATTACTGGCATGTGCCACCACACCCGGCAAATTTCTTTTTCTTAGTGGCAGAATAGTATTTCATTATCTATTCCTGAGTTAATGGATTATTGTCAATTTTTCTGTTGTAATAATATATTTATTTGGTACGTCTTTCAACATTTGTGTTACTATTCTAGTAGGATGTATTCCTAGGAATTAAAGAATACATTGTTAAAATTTTTGATAACACAAAATTGCTCTTAAAAATGTTTTTTGTATTTTCTACAATGAGTCTTTGTTAACTTTTATAATTCAAAAAGGGAAAAAGATTTCCAAAATGAAAGGATAAATTCCAAGACTGAATCGAAAAGAGGAATCAGTGTCAAAAAGAAATCTGACTTAAGTATCTATATTATACTTGATTTCTGATATACAATATAAATTTTTCATATTAATTCCATTTTTCTTTGTTCTTTCAAAGGAAGCTTTCTCTGTCTACAAATTGCATTGAAAAAATTGCCAACCTGAATGGCTTAAGTAAGTGAATCGTAATAACAGATTTTTTATTTTCCTAGTTATTAGAATAAACATTCCAAAGACTTTATGTAATTCCAGAAGCAAGCACCTGTTTTAACCACAGTAATTGTTAGATGACAGAGTGAATATATAAACCATGTGTTCTTAAATTTGATTATCCAAAGAAAATTGAAATTACATGAGACCTGAACATTTTAAAACTTTTTATAGATTAAAATTGAGATGATTTAAATAGAATATAAGATTTTATTATACATTTCTTTGTGCAGATTTGTTTTGTATGCATTTCAAACTTGTTATATTTAAAATTTACTTCCTTACCATCTATTTTTCCTGTGTTCTCTATGCTGATCAGTAACATCACTGCCCTCCCAGTTCCCAAGGCCCCCACTCTCTCAGTGAGTTCTAATGGTTACTGTAATTTGGTGATGTAAAGCAACAGAAATTTATTGGGAGATCGGAAGTTGGAAATCAGTTTCACTGAGCCAAAAAGAAAGCTACACTCCCTCTGAGGCTTTGAGGGAGAACTTCTTGCTTTTTCTGTTTCTGATGGTTGCCACATCCCTGTGCTCCTGACTGTATCTTTCAGTCTGTGTCTCCATGTTCGAATCGCCATTTCCTATTCTATCTGTGTCAAAGCTCTGCCTCCTCTTCCTGAGGATATATGTTCCTGCATTTGGCGTACTCCTAGATATTGAAAATTATGTCTCCATCTCAAGATCCTTAATCAAACCTACAAAGTATTTTTTTTTCCACATAAAGTAATATTCACAGGTTCCAGGGACTAGAATATAGGTATCATTTGGGAGGCGGGGTTCACTTTCCATACTGAGGATTGAACCCAGGGCCTCATACACACTAGGCAAGTGCTCTACCACTGAGCTAAATTATAGCTCTGTTTGTTTTGAGATAGGTTCTCACCAAGTTACCCACGCTGGCCAGAACTTGATCTTCCTGCCTCAGCCTCTTGAGTAGCTGGAATCGCAAATGTGTGCCACCAAGCCTGGCTTGGGAAGCCATTATTTAGCCTAACACATTCTCTCATTTCTTCCATTCAACCCTACATCCAAATTCATCACTAAGTCCTGTTAATTCTTTTCTTTAAAGAAATTCTTAAATAATTTGTTGCTTTTCCACTTCTAGGAGCTACAACTTGAACTTAGAATCATATTAGTTTTTCTCTAGATCATATTTTTCAAGCATTTTTGACCATTTTCTGAAGTAAAAATACATATGAATTCATTATATATTTATATAAATATATATCATACATATATATTAGCATAGGTTTCAGTATATATTTTTAAATTTTGATTTATTTTTTTAAATGTTGATCATACTCCACTAAATTGATTTCCTAATCTATTACAGTAATGGGTTATGACCCATAGTTTGAAAAATACTGCCATAGGACTTTTGTGATAGTCTCCTAAATTGGTCTTTTTCTTCATTCTGTTCTTCAGCTGATCTTCAGCTGATACCAATGATGAAGTTTCTTCTGAAAATATTATTTTTATCTTTCCGCCAGATCAGAGATCCTTTGCCTAGTAAAGACAAATGTTACAACATCATCTAAAATCTTGTGCCACTGTATTCACATCCAAATATGCCATTTTTAAATGACTTTGTACATTTGTTAATGCATTGCCTTTCATTGAAAGCAGTTCTCTCTGCCACCTGCCTCGCAAGCGCAAGGATCCAAGTTCGATCCCCGGTACAAAAAAAAAAAAAAGTTTTCTAAGAAAAAAGGACATCACATTTGGTGGGGGTGGGGATTTAGCTCAGTGGTTCCGCAGCCTGCCTCGCAAGTGCAAGGACCCCAGTTTGATCCCTGGTACCAAAAAACAAAACAAAACAAAACAAAAGAATGTCACATTTGGAAATGAGGCGTGGTATCTCATTCTTTTAACCCCAGCACTTAGGGGGACCTCGAATTCAAGGCCAGCCTGACTTAAATAGCAAGTTGCAGGCCAGCCTGTACTACAAATCAACTTGTTTTAAAACAAAATAACAAGAAGTCTGGCATGGTGGTGCACGCCTGTAATCCTAGCACTCTGGGAGGCTGAGGGAGGAAGATTGCAAGTTTCAGCTCAAACTGGGCAACTTAGTGATTTAGTGAGACCCTGTCTCAAAATTTATAATGAAAAGAGTACTGGGGATGTAGCTCAGTGTGAAGGCGTTGGGTTCAATCCCTAGTACAAGGCAAAAAACCCCTCACATCTGAATGTCACCTTCCCAAAGACTTTTATAATTTCCATTGTCATAATTACTTTTCTGAGAATACAGTATTTATACTAGTCAACCTTAGATTATAATAATAATTACCTTATATAGTTATTGTGACTATTACATGAGTTACTAGATAGATAGTACTTAGAATTGTGCCTGGCCCTTATAAAATGCTCATTGAATATTAGCCATTATTATAGCTGGAAATGTGTTCTGCTCTTTAGATAGTGTGCTCTTTGAGGGCAGGCATCACATATTAATCTTTTCATCTTCTGTTCCATTCCTCTTCTACCTGTAATATGGTACTCAAAAATGCCACTTCATATTAATACTGTGTCAGAGAGAAGTGCTAACTATTAGGGCTGTGCATTATGCCAGTTTTTTGCTGACTCACTAAACATTTTAGGATATCAATTTTATTCTCTGCCTCAATTTCTTTGTAACTGAAGTATCTTGCTTAAATAAGACTACATTGGTATCGTATTATTTACCATGACAGATTAAGTGCTTTTCTGTTCATAAAACATGACTATGAGGGCTGGGGATTTAGCTCAGTGGTGCCACTGCCTGGCTCGCAAGCACAAGGTCCCGAGTTCGATCCCTGGTACCAAAAAAAAAAAAAAAGACTATGAAAGTAATGAAAATGGATAATGATCTACATAGGGCTGGCAATGGTGTTTAATTCATATTCCAATTTTGGTCAATGGTAGTGACTCTCAGGAAAATTATATTGAGAAGAATTTTTAAAAATCAGCGGCAATAGTTGATGTCTGCTGTAAACATAGAATGAGAGAATGTAGGCATTTGCTGATACTCAACTCATTTTAGTTCGGCTTGTAGCAAATAGTAATACAGTCGATGGCTAGGGAATACAGTTAATCTGTGACTAGGAAACAAGAAGCTAACCTACCCATATGAAGAACTAAATGAATGACTCTAGCTTGCCTTCTACCCCTGTCCTTTCATAAATGCAAAGGTCTTGCTTATCATACTATGATGAGAAGATCTGACATACATCGATGTTTCTGTTTAACAGGTTTATAGGACAGAATAATCCTAAAGACAATTTATTATACCAACACTGACTGGAAAACTGCATGACAAGACTGTGTTCAAAACCATGACTAAAAAGTTGCACAGTGTGAATATTAATAATCTCATTTTAAAGATTAGAAAATAAATTCTTTCCTTCTATCTTTGCTAAAAAAAAAATTATGCGGTAATCTTCCAGATCATGAGTAAGCATAAAAATTTGAAAACAGTATTTTAATTTCCATCATGACATTTTATGAGAAAAACAAGTATTTTCCTTCTAGTGCTGCCCTATTTCAACAGTGTATAACATATAGACAATACATGATTGTGTTATATTAGAACACTTAATCTATTAACTTTGACATCATAAACCTATTTCTGTATACAGCAACAAGATTTTTAGAGTCATTCATTACCATTTTCATTTGTGCTTTTTAAAAGCTTTTTTTTGAAGCAAAACATTTATTTTTCGATATACATAAGAATAACATTCATCATAGGGAATTTATACCTGTATATAATATATCTTGCTTCTTCTTCTTTTTTTTTTTTTTTTTGGTACTGGGGATCGAACTCGAGTCCTTGTGCTTGCACAGCAGGCAGCGAAACTACTGAGCTAAATCCCCAGCCCTATCTTGCTTTTTCTTTAAAAAGGAGTTTTTTGGGTTTTTTTTTTTAGTACTGGGATCGAACTCAGGACCTTGGCTTTTGAGGCAGGCGTGGTGCCATTGAGCTAAATCTCTGGCCTTTCAAGGATGATTTCTTTTTCCTTTTTGAGGCACTGTCTTCAAAGAGAAAAAGAAATTTTCTTTCTGGCCTCTTCTTCCCAGTTTCATGTCCCTGAATTTTAAATATCGGAGAGCTCATGCATTCAGTTCTTGAATCATTTCTCTTTTTTTTTTTCCTGGTATGGGGGATCAAACTCAGGACCTTGCGCTTGCCCGGTGGCACCACTGAGCCACATCCCTGGCCCTCTCTTCGTTTTTTTATCTTCATTTGTTCCTTGGATTATCTGTCTCATCCAGAGTCATGGCTTTATCATCTATGTGCTAATGGCTCTCAAATTTAAATATCTAGTTCTGAGATCTTCTCTGACCTCCGGATTAACATATTCAGTTGTCTGACATTTCATACTTAGCAAACCCTGGACTCCTGGCTAACCTTAGTCTTGATATCAGGAATTTTTATATGTATTATTCACTATAAGATTACAGTGCTTGACAGGCTGAGGCAGGAGGATTACTGCAAATTCAAGGCCAGCCTGGGCTACATAGCAAGACCCTGTTTTAAAAAAAAATAAAAATAAAAAAGATTATAGTGCTTATTATTGTTCATGGTATATAATAGATGTCCAATAAGTATGTATTGAATGAATACATTTTTAAATAAATTCTTTTTCTTTCTTTGTTTCTTGCAGTTCTGGAGATCAAACCTAGGGCCTTGTGTGTGATAGGCAAGCACTTGACATCCCCAGCCCTAAATAATCTTTTGCTACTATATGAAACAGCAAAACAGTAATACAAAATGGTGATTCTCCTAGATCAATAAGCTTTAAATAAGTTATGTTATTTTAAAAAATACTTAATTTTCATAAATGTATAGTTATATGGGATGTATTAGTTTGCTATAGCTTCCAAAACAAAGTCACAGAGACTGGGTGGCTTAAACAATAGAAATTATTTTCTTGTAGATCTAGAGACTAAAAGTCTGAGATTAAGGTTTCAACAGAGTTGATATCCTTCAAGGCTCTCTCTTTAACTTGCAGATAGGTCTTGGTTTGGCTTCTCCTATCTTCATATAGTTTTTCCCCTGTACCTGTGTCCTACTTTTCTCTTCTTCTAAGGTTAGCAGTCATGTTGGATTAGGGCCTACTTACATGAACTCATTTTACCTTAATTACCTTTTTAAGGCCCCTAACTCCAAAAACAGTCACCATCTAAGATTTTAAGGATAAGAACTTAAAGATATTAATTTTGCGGGGACACAATTCAGCCCATAATATGGGGTCTTATTCAATAGTTAAACTATTTTATGTGAATGAGATCACTCGCATTACAGATTCTCATTAGATAATCTAAAATAAAAACCAAGTTGTTATCAGGTAGCTCCTTCCAAAAGTGGCTTTCCAATCAAACGTTACTGGGTTTTGGGTTTCTCACCTCTCCTTCTGGAATTGGATTCCAGGTTCTTCTCGACTCAAAGAGTTGAACAAAACGAGCAAAAAGTAGTGGAAAAGTTTATTTGAAAAAGTAAAAGTGAAGAGTGAGGGAAAAACTGGCTCTGCAGAGCAAGCTTGGGCCACGTAAGAGGAAAAAGCAAGATAAAAGTATACCCTGGGGGAAGCAGAGTGGGCTATCATGAAAACAGCCATGTTAGCAAGTTTTTCTTGGTCTGTGTTCTTTTATGCTGTCCAAATCTCAAGGAAACCCATGAGAACTACATACGGGTCCTGAGATGTAGTGCTAGGGTCCCATGTCTCAGGCTGACATCCTGACATCAGGTCTAGGCCATCCTTTTTAAAACCTTCTGGAGTTCTTGGGAGAAGTCCAGGTGTAGGGCTTTGGTAACTGTTTTGCGCACATGTTCTGGGATCTTGTAATTAACAGGTCACACCTACTCCCTCAGACAGTTTTGCCATGCCCTAATCTCCTATGTCAAAGTTATAGGATATACATTCCTGCCTGATATACATTCATGCTGTTTATTGTGTACTTGCCATAGTTCAGGCATTTTAACTGAATATTTTAGATAATTATCTCATTTAATCTTTTTATTCTTTTTTCCCCCCAGTACTGGAGGTTAAACCCAGGATCTTTGCACTAAGCTAAATCCCAGCCCTTTAAAAAATTTTTTTAAAACATTTTTTATTGATCCTAGGGCTTAAACCCAGGGCTTTGTCCATGCAAGCCAAGGGCTGTGCCACTGAGCTGTGTTCCTGGCCTCAAATTTTTTTTATTTTGAGACAGGATCTCTCAAAGTTGCTAAGGTGGCCAGGCTGGGCCCAAACTTGTGATTTCTTCCCTCTGCCCAACTTATTCTTATAGATACTATATTTCCCCCCATCATGCACAGAGTAAAAATGAGATTCAGAGAGGTTTTATTTCTTCCCAGAGAGTTGAAAGTTAATTGGATCTATTTCTTACCATTGAATTATGGTTGTTATAGAATAAGACATTTAACAAAACAACCTGCAGTCTCTCTATACAGTTACTACTAGCTAAATATGGTGATTAAGCTCTTGAAATGTGGCTAATGTATCTGAGAAATTAAAATTTTAATTTAAAAATTTAACCTGAATTAAATAGTCACATGTAGCTGGGCATGGCACATATCAGTAATCCCAGCACTCCAGAGGCTGGGGCAGGAGGATTGTTGAGAGTTCGAGGCCAGTTTGGGCTACATTGTGAGTACAAGGCCAGTCTGGGTTACATTGTGAGTACAAGGCCAATCTGAATTACATAGGGAGACCCTGTCTCAAAAAACAAAAACAAAAACCAAACCAAATAGCTACATGTAACTAGTGACTACCATATTAGACAAGGTAGTTATAGAAGTCTAAATTGTGAAAACTTAATGTTTTATAAGAGTGTTCACAGTTGGGCCAGGGATTTAGCTCATGGTTCCACTGCCTGCCTCACAAGCACAAGGTCCCGAGTTCAATCCCCAGTACCAAAAAAAAAGAGAGAGAGTGTTCACAGTAGGTTCCTGAAACAGAAATATGGCTTCCTGTATTTTACTAGAAATCTGTTTTCTTTAATTTGGAAATGAAATAGATACACATGGTTTTATTCAAATGATTCAAAATAAGGTACATGAAAAATAAGTGTTTTTCTGACCATAAACTCTTAGTTTATTCCTAAAGGCAACCATTATTTCTTTCTTCACTCTCTCTCTCTCTTCCAGAAATAGCCTATAGATTTACAAACAGAAGCATTCTTTTAAAAATGCAAACCGTCAAAAAAAATGCAAACAGGCATTTTTTTTTTTAGGCAAATCACAATCTAATTATTTTTTAAATTGAAAACAGCTGGGCATACCTATAATCCCTGAACTCTGGGAGACTGAAGCAGGAGGATTGTAAATTCAATATCAGCTTTGGAAACTTATGACTTAGCAAGACCCTGTGTCAAAGTAAAAAATAAAAATTCCAGCTGTGGTGGTGCTGTAATCCCAGCACTCAGGAGGCTGAGGCAGGAGGATCACCACAAGTTTGAGGCCAGCCTGGGCTACATAGTGAGTTAAACGCCAGCCTGAATTACATAGAAAGACCCTGTCTCAAAAAAAGTTAAATTAAAAAAAAAAGTTAAATAAATAAATATAAAAAAGGACTGGGGATTCAGCTTAGTTGAAGGCTCTGGGTTTGATTTCCAGTACACACAAAAAAATGTGAGGGCTGGGGATTTAGCTCAGTGGTTCTGCCACCTGCCTCACACGCTCAAGGACCCGAGTTCGATCTCTGGTACCAAAAAAATTTTTTTTGAAAATAAAAAAATTTTAAATAATTTTAAATTTTAAATACTTAAATCATTTAAATTTATTTCATCTCTTTTCTAATTCTTCATGAAGTAACATGGACTAAACATAATAAATATGTTTCTATTTTCCATGTGAGTTCTTATACTATAAATTCATACATATTTGAAATATACACACTCCCAAATTTAAAGGTAAAATCTTCTTTACTCTTATCTCTATAATATTTTTACTGGCCAACCATTGAAGACCATGCATTACAAATAGCTAATGAATTTTAAAATTAATCTTGGTATGTTGTGAAATTATAGTTGTAGTGCTTATTTTAGATGATAGGTCAATGGTATTTCCTTCCTGACTATTTTTTTTCCTAATACAACCTTTTTACTCATTTACAAGGATATTTATTGTATCAAATTTATTAAAGCTTCATTGTACTAGATCTACAATTGTGTAATTTGATTCTCATAAGGAAAAATGCTTTTTTCCATTACAGAAAACTTGAGGATATTGTCTTTAGGAAGAAACAACATAAAGAACTTAAATGGACTGGTAGGTTATGACTTCTTTTTTTGAACATTTTTTTTCTCATTATAAAAAGTAGAAAGCAGGTGTAAAAAGTACCTGTAGGGCCAGGGATTTAGCTCAGTGGTTTCGCCACCTGCTGTGCAAGTGCAAGTGCAAGGACCCAAGTTCAATCTCCAGTACCAAAAAAAAAAAAGTACCTGTAAACCACTGATAATTAAAATGCTGCTAACATTTTGATTATATCTTTATCTGTCCCTCTGTCTCTCTCTCTCCTCTCTCTCTCTTTCTCTGTACTAGAGATTAAACCCAGGGCCTTTGCACTGAGATACATCCCTAGCCTGTTTGTTTGGTTTGTTTGTTTGTTTCTTTGTTCATTTTGAGACAAGAGTCTTACTAAATCACTAAATTGCCTGGGCTGGGCTCAGACTTCCTATCCTCCTGCCTCAGTCTCCCAGAGGGTTGGGATTACAGATATGTGCCACCATACCTGACTTTTTACTTTTTATTTTAGATTCTTTAATGGGTATATTGATGATGAAACTCCTAGTATACATTCCTACTGTTTTGCATTCCCGTTTAGCTTAATATGTAAAAATCATTCTTGCATGTCATTCAACAGATTTACTCCACATATGTATATTTCCTGAATACTTACCTAAGCAGTACAGATATGTCAGAATACAGAACAGTCCTTGCTCTTACAGAATTTACATGACCTTTGAGGGCTATATACTAAAAGTTAATTGTATAATACATCAGGTAGTGATAAGTTCAATGAGGCACAATAAGAGAAGACAAAGTGATGGGACATCTTCCCTATGGAAGTGAGGATGTAGTGAAGCTATAGGCTAAGGGTACAGCAAGTGAAAATGTCCTAAACATTGATCTGTTTGGTGCTTGAGTAAAAGCAAGAGTTGACAAAAAAGGAGTGTGATCCTCAGTGGTGTTTGACAGGGAATCAGGAACAAGCCACACAGAGCCTTACAGGCTATGAAAAGATTTTAAATACCCCCCCCCCGCCCCCAAGTTTCTTGTGAAGCCATTGGAGGTTTTGGATCAGAGGATGTGATTTAAGTTTTTTAAATAATTTAAAAATCATACCTTTCCCCCCTAGGGCTGGGGATTGAACTGAGGGCTTCATGCATGCCTAAGCAAGCACTCTCCAACAGAGCTACAGCCCCAGCCCTAAATCTCTTCACTTTCTACACACTCCTATTATTACAACATCAGTTGGTTTTCTTTCCAGTATGTATTGTGTGGGCTTGGGATGTATGTGTGTGTGCATCTAAAACCTTTACTACTTACATGTAAACCAAAGAATAATAAAGCCGCATGAGGATGTAAATGCTGGGCTTCAAGTAGCTGAATTATTCATCCAAACACACCATTGTAGCATAATTTAAATAGCTGAATCAGTAAATTAAAAATGACTACTATAATGTGTAAAACATAAAATCTTAAATTTGAGAGGGAGGGTCTATTTAAACTATTTAGGAAAGCCTTTAAGCTCTTCATTGATTGAAACATCATCATGTGCCATGTAACTGAATTCCTATACTGCTGGGCACTTATTTTAATTCTAGACTCTCTTCAAATTTGTAGATACTATCCATTTTTGGAATATTATGCTAAGTGAAGTGTCAGTCACAAAAGTACAAATATCTAGTCAAATTCATAGAGACACCATAGAGACATAGAGACACCAACAAGAGCAGTTGCTAGGGTTCAGGAGAGGGGGCAGTGGGAAGTTATTGTGGTACGGGTATAGAGGTTCCATTTTGTAAGATGAAGAGAGCTGTGAAGATGATTGGGATGATAATTACCTAACAGTACAATATATTTAATACCACTGAGCTATACACTTAAAAATGATTAATATAGTAAATTTCCATTTGTTGATTGTGTAGCAAGGTCTTAACATGCATTGTCTCATTTCAAACTCACAAGTAATAATGACATTATCCTATGTTAAGATAAAGAAATGAGACTCAGATAGTTATGTAAAATGCCAAAGTGCAGTGAACAGACATTCTTAAACACTGTTGCTGAGACAGGCAGCTTGGCAATAACAATCTTGAATGTGTATTTACTTTGTCCCAACTATTCTATAGCTGGGAACTTTTTGCACTCACATGTCTATAGACATAAATAAATACATAAATAAAACGAAGAAGAGAAGAATCTTCCCTTACAAGTTTTATTCGGATTTTTTTGGTTCCTCAGTAGAATTTTATAGTTTTAATTCCAATAAGCTTTCATACATTTATTGAAAAAAATATATTCCTGGGTAACTTACAGTTTTTGTTGCTATGAGGTAATTTCTAACAATTTACCATTTATAAGATAAAAGCCATTTGTTTTATATGTTTATTTAATCAACTACCTACAAACAGTTCTTAGCTATTTACAAATTACATCTTACTAAAGACTTCTAAGCAATGTTATGTTATCCAAATTCATTACTTTATACAAAACAAACAAACAATACTAATAATAATCCATCATTTTATATGGTCCAAAATCAAGAGGTTTTATAGTACCTCATAAAGCCCTTCATACTCCTTTACCCTCCAACATGATACTATTCACAGAGCAGGCACTTAAGTTTTTTCATTTCAATACTCAGTGGTTTGTTGACCTCAAAAAACCATAAATTTCAATAACTGAAAGAGATGTTAAGAGAACTTCTTGTCCAACTTCCTCATTTTTCCAGTGTTTAAAACTGATAATATATATATAATTTACTATATTCTATTATAATATGTATATACCACTTCTTTGTTCATTTGTGATACTTGTAGTGCTTTCACTCTTTGGTTATTATATAAATAATGCTCTCTGAACACTAGTGTATAAGTATCTCTTTGAGACTCCACTTTCATTCCTTTTAGATATATGCCTAGAACTGGAATTGTTGGATCATATAATTCTATTTTTAGTTTTTAAAGGACCTTCCAGTTTTTTATAGCATCTAGACCATTTTACTTGCCCACCAACAGTACACAGGGTTCCATTTTCTCTATATCCCTGTCAACACTTATTATTTTCTGTTTTTGTAGTAGCTTTACTAATGGATGTGAGGTGGTGTATCATTATGCCAATCTCCTCATTCTACAGAGTAAGACAGTAAGGAAAGAAGCTGGGCATAGTGGTACACACCTGTAGTACAAGCTACATGAGAACCTGAAGCAGGTGAATTGCTTGAGCCCAGGAGTTCAAGACCAAGCTCAGCAAGAGTGAGATTCTGCCTTAATAAAGAAGAAAGAGAAGGAAGAGGAGAAGGGGGAGGGGAAAGAGAGAGAGAGGAGGGGAAAGGGAGGAAGGGGAGGAGTAGGAAGAAGAGGAAGAAGAAGAAGAAAGAAGGAGAAGGAGAAGAAAGAGGAGGTGAGGAAGAAGATGAGGAAGAAGAAAACTAAGGGGAGAAATGATTTGTTCACAAGCAAAAGCAAACCAGTTTGTTAAATTCCTATTCATTCAATGTCCAGTTTTCCAAAGAGCTAGTTTATTGAATGATAGATTTCACTGATGACTTCACCAGTTTTATTTATTGGTATTTATCAGATTGCTTCACCAAAAGCTTGTCTTCATTACCTGCTTCTTCTTCATTACCTTTTGAAATTCTCTTTAGATTTTATTCAGTGTTAACTTTACTGCAACTCTTTCATCCCAGCCACTGGGCTTCTCAGTCCATCTTTGTGGAATGGTACTTTCATATTTTAGATACTGATCACTTCTCAAATGATTACAGCATAAAAGCAGTAGTCTAATTTGAACTGGTATATGCATTCTTATATTTAACAAAGTACAAAAGGCAGTGGAAGAGATTGAAAATGTTTTGGAATGTTGAACTATACCCTGGGCATCCAAAATTTATACAATTGTAATTCAATATGCATAAGACTTTCTGATTCCCCAAAGTCATATTCCCCCAAAATAGCATCACATTTACCTTTTTGTCTTGTTTTTTCAAGTTTCAGAAAATGTTTGTTCCCCTCAGGCTAGCTGCAGGAGTCAAGGGCTGAAGCTGGGTCAGAGTCTGAAGTAGGGAATGGGGTAGTTGGGAACCACATAACTGAGTTTGAGGGTACCCCTCACCCCAGCTGAGGTAAGCAGGTCAGCATCTGGCCAGGTGAAAGGAACCGCCCCAGTCTTTGGCCTGGACTCTGCCCCTGCACACCTTCCTCAGTGCCCCTCAGGACCCCAAAGCAAAATAACACAGACAGGAGAAGGGAAACAGCTGAGTCTGGAGTCCTCGGTGAAGGGCGGTTAACCCTTGTGTATGTGCATACACGCATGCATTCTCTCACACATACCACACAAACATGAGCTTGTGCTTGTGTGTGCCTGCACACACACACACACACACACACACACACACACACACACACAGCTGGCTTTCAAAGATGGGTTACAGGGTAGGGAGAGTGGAGGGAATAGAAAAGGACAGGGGCAGTCTTTGGCTAGTGACTTGGTCCCTCTGGAGTAACCCTCTGCCCTCAGCTGAGTGATAGCAATTCTCCCCTTCCCCCACATCAGCTTCTTCAACACCTGAGGGTGGAGGAGGGGTGATGCCAGTTATCAGGTTTGGGAGTTTACCAAGGCAATTCAATTTGAATAAATTATAAATTTTAAATAAATAAAATAATACATGGTCCCTGCCCAAGACAGCGAGGCAACACTGGCATGACTTGCCTGGAACTTGGGACAATCTCAGGGTCGCTCTAACCCTAAGTCCTCAAATGCATTGAAATTTGGTCATGGCAAAGCAGTTGCTTTCAAATGACTGAAAATTAAATCAGAAGTAAGTTAACACTTCAAATAAGTGAACAAAGCGTTGAAGACATCTTCAAAAACTAGCTTATGTAAAAGAATTTCTATTTTACCTAAAATTGGTATCATTTTAAAGTAGACTTTATTTTGGTAAATCAATAAAAGAACTAACTCAGCACACTGGCTATTTGGAAAATTAACCAAATTGGCTATGTGAAATTAACCAGGAGGGAGGATGTGAAAAAAAAGAAAAAATAATAAACCAGGAGTCTCTACCTTTATAAAATGGCACTGAACAAATGGCAGAACCCAGAATTAAGCCTAAATCTTTTTATTTTTCTTTTGGTGCTAGTGATTAAACCTAGGGCCTCATGCATGTGAGGTATGCATTCTACCACAAAGATCAGTATTTAATTAGTATTTTTTTTCTGCTACCTCATGCAGCATACACTGGTGACATGAGAAGGTTGAGGATCTAGGTCAGTGAAAATGTATTAATAAAATTTAAATTACTGAAGACTGATTCTCCTCCTCTGAAAGACATATGTATATAGTAATTACATATCTGAGGAGATATCACACTATTACTCAAGAGGGCTTGGTTAAATCACAAATTTCTGATATAAGAATCCCAGAATAGACTGATTTTAAAATGTCTTTTACTTTGAAAGCATTGTGTCTTCTATTTGGAAAGTTGAAACTAAGATGAAATGTTGGAGCTGGGATTATATACAGAGCTAACTCAGATCACGTCATTCTCAACTTTCCCCCTTTGTTCCACCATTATGGAAAATGCATTCAGGATCTTAATCCAGGAACATTTATTCTCTCCATAGTCATTAAAGGTGCAGTTACCAGGATATAGACCTGGGGCCTACCTAGACATTATCATGTGCACGTAGATAAATTGGGAGAAGGGGTTAAGAGAAGATTGAGCATCCAATTCATCCTGCCTGGTACTTTTTATGTTTTTTTTAGAAAAAGAATCACTCCAGGCCAGGCATTTAGCTCAGTGGTTCTGCCACCTACCCCACAAGCACAAGGACCCTAGTTTGATCCCCGGTACCAAAAAAAAAAAAAAAAAAGAATCACTGCATTTGTCTAATGTCTATAAAAGAAAAAAATTTTGAAATTATTGATTGTATCTAAAAAGAGGCAGTATGATATAACTTTTATACTATAGTAGAAAGACTTTACTAATACTTAGTGGTTAATTTAATAATAATAGGTTAAAACTGAATTATATTTATCAAAAAGATAAGATGAATTACTGGATAATGAGATGGGTAGATGGACATTTATGATAGGACAAGTATGGCAAAATGCATAGTGACCATATGGGCATTTAATATAAAATGCTTTCAACTTTATGTTTAAACTTTTTAATAATAAATTTTGAGAAAACCCTGAATTTTAGACTTAGCTATACTACTAATGTGCTGTTTTTTAAAAAGCCCTAAAGTCTCTTATAAAAGAAATCAAATAGCTTATCTACTTTAGATGTAAAGACCAGGTTGGGGATTTAGCTCAGTGGTTCCACCGCCTGCCTTGCAAGTGCAAGGTCCTGAGTTCGATCCCCGGTACCAAAAAAAAAAAATGTAAAGACCAAATAATAAGCTGGTATGTTGGCATATTCCTGTAATCTCAGCCCTCTGGGAATCTGAGATAGGAAAATCTTAAGTTCAAGCCTGGCCTGGGCAGCTTAGTGGCTTAGTGAGAACTTGTCTCAAAATCAAATTTTTTAAAAAAGTGCTGGGGACTGTGCAAAGGCCCTGGGTTCAATCCCCATTACTGCAGGGGAAAAACGACCAAATAATATATATAATCAATAGGGTAGTAATTAGAAACTATAGCATTCAATAAAAGTGATACTATAGTGCCATTATTTCTCCTCTTGGTTATTGCATAACTATTCTTGGTAAAGAGTGTTTTATGAATTTTTTCTCAGTGAAACAATCAGAATAGAAAGAGTTCAGAGGGAAAGAGAATGTTCTATTTCATTCCCTTAATGGGAAAAAAACTTCCACACAAAAGTCAGATCTCCTACAAGTGGACAGGCAGGTTGGACAGACAGGTCTTAGTTTTCTTTGAAAGCCATTGTCCATGTTTATAATGAAGGAGACAGAAGGGTAATGTTAAAAAATGAGCATGTAATTTAGATTGATTTCTTTTTCAGGAAGCTGTAGGGGACACATTAGAAGAACTGTGGATCTCCTACAATTTTATTGAAAAGTTGAAAGGGATCCATGTAATGAAAAAATTGAAGATTCTCTACATGTCTAATAACCTGGTAAAAGACTGGGGTAAGCTGAGAATGGCTCTTTCCTAACCATCTACCTCATCTTTCTAGAACATATCCGATAGAGGAAAAGATATAAAATGGAAACATTTATTTCTAAGCACAGAGAGTAATAGCTATAGAACTTCCTATATTTTTTATAGAAACAGTATAAGAATTCCTAAATTTTAAATGCATGGAATATATATTTAAATTTTTACTTAGAACAAATATAATTAGGTAGGTCCTTGTTCTATTAGTAATGAAAAAAAACCTTTATTGTTCTAAGGCTGAAGGAATCAGTTTAAATCTAATAATCCTTGAGTGGAAAACTTATTTGATATCTATATTGCTTTGCTTTTTATTGCATATTATTAATGCAGCATATACTAAAGCCCTGTTATGTGCATGATCAATGCCACACTTTTATATACATAATTGAATAGAAACTACCTGCCCTCAAGGAACTCACAGCTTAGTGGGGAAAATTCATTTATAAACTAATAATTATAACATTTTATGATAGGTTCTGCAATAATTATGTGAATGAGTTGCTATAAGAATTTGAGGGGCCAGGGATTTAGCTCAGTGGCTCTGCCGCCTGCCTTGCAAGTGCAAGGACCCGAGTTCAATCCCTGGTACCCCCCCCAAAAAAAAGAATTTGAGGATGTGGGCTGGGGATTTAGCTCAGTGGCTTCGCCACCTACTTTGCAAGCAGAAGGACCTGAGTTCGATCCCCAGTACTTAAAAAAAAAGAATTTGAGGATGAAGAAATAGAGACAAAAGCAGCTTAGCTTAGCCTACACCGATGCAGCACAACAAAGAACATTTATCACTGTAGATCAACTAGTCCTTTTCATTTCTGACCCTTTTCTTCTCTTCTTGTCCCCTCCTTAGGCTAGCATTAAAGGTAGACAAGAGAACCACCCACCCTATAATGTTCTCAGACAATAACTTCATATAGTAAAATTTCCCTAACCTTCAAAAATTTAAATAACTAATTGTCCTGAATAAGTCACAAATTGAGGGTAGTGATTTGGAATTCAATCTCCAAAATTATAACAGTAAACCTTACCATTTTAATGTGGAAATGTTCTTTGTTCTTATAGCTGAATTTGTGAAGCTGACAGACCTGCCATGCCTGGAAGACCTGGTATTTGTAGGCAATCCTTTGGAAGAGAAACATTCTGCTGAGGGTAACTGGATTGAGGAAGCAACCAAGAGAGTGCCCAAACTAAAAAAGCTGGATGGTAAGTGACTCTGGGTGGGCTGGCTTAGAAATGTTTTCTAGTTATAAAAATGGAGTTTTTAGCATGGGATCATAACAAGGAGTAAAACTAAAGAAAATGATGATTGTCCCTAATCTTAAAGACCATTTCTGTCCATATGAAATTTAATGATCCAGTTTATACCAATGTGAGATGAAAAATTCCTAGGATGTTTGGGCTGATACAAGATCATCCTTATATCAAGATCTCATAGGGGGCCGGGGATTTAGCTCAGTGGTTTCACCGCCTGCTGCGCAAGCTCAAGGACCAGAGTTTGATCCCCGGTACCAAAAAAAAAAAAAAAAAAGATCTCATAGAAAAACTTAGGCTTATTCTCAAGTCACAGAAATATTTTGTGTAATAATTAGACATAAATGATAAGTAGTTGCTTTCTCACAGTTGGACCAAAACTGTTGTATTCTGTCTCATAATCCCTGTTCCTCAGTTTAAGTTTCCCAACCACTAAGATTCATGTTAATATCACTAGATATCACTGACTCACTGGGTCATGTCCTAGCTCCACCACTTACAGTATTTGTGACATTGTGCTAGTTAATTAACCTTGCCAAACCTTGTTCATTGTAATATAAAAGCTGGAGATGATAACAATATCATTAGGAATCATTTCAGTGTTGTTATGAGGATGAAATGAAATAATCTTTGTTTAATATCGTGCTTTTAAAATCTTTTAACATTTTAAAAGATTTTAATAATCCAAAAGCTCAACTGCATAAGAAATATTTCAATATAAATTAACTCCGTTTTCACTTTGATCACCACCTCCCTTATTTAATTCAGCTGACAGGAAATTTAGTCTGTTAGTCTTAAGGTCCCCCTGGGACTATTCCATCATTCTAGGACCAGGTCATGAGGAGATATCCTCTGGTCTTAGGTCAATTGTCCTCAAAGGTCATCACTGAGAAATCTATTGTCTCCATTCCCAAGGTCCCTTAGGACTCATCCTCCCTGCTTCCTGCCGTGTATATTCTCGCTACACTTGAGTTATGGAAGTGCTTTTTTGGGAATGAGATCTTTGGTAGCCATAGGATTATCTTTGATAAAATACAGACGTTCCTCTCTGGCTCTTACCTCCTTCTCGTGGTGCTATCAGGAAGTGCAGCCAAGAGTCTCACTATTCCAGAACCCCCAGGAAATTCCTTTCTAGTCTGGGAGAAATCACCATCCCTACCTTCTCCACATTATTCTATCTTCTCACAAACAATATCTTTTCAGTGGTATTAAGATTTTCAAAGACAAAAGCCAGTAAGTCTTCTGGTCTGTGTCCATTTTCCACCCAGTCCCCAAAACAATCATGCACAGAGTTGACTAGGCTGATTGAATGGGAGGAAGGAGAATAAGAAAAAAATAAGCAATATACATCACATGATGATGACGATAACGATGACCATTTACAAACATGTTTTCCTTATTGTCTTCATCATCATACTCATACCAAGAGCCACATGTTTTTTCCAATAAAGGACCCAGTCATTTACAGTTTTTGTCAAGCTTTTTCTTTTCCTCACCACCCCTGCTACTCTGTGTTCTATTCTTTCAGTCCTATTTTGTGTTTCTTCATCCCCCCACACACACACAACAGCTCAGTGCTCAAACCTTTTATCCACCCAATTTACTATGGCAGTTGTTCTTAAATGGTGCTGCATACCTGTGGAGAGAGACACTCAAAAGTCTCTAGGGAGGGCTGGGGATTTAGCTCAGTGATTCCACCACCTGTTTGCAAGTGCAAGGTCCCGAGTTTGATACCCGGTACCAAAAAAATTCTCTAGGGAGAAAGTGAAGGAGACATATAGGTTGAAAAATTTTTACAGGTGATACTAATATTCCTCCATAGGTAGAGATAAGATCTTCTGTCCTCAGATTGGGAATTAATTGCTCTAAAAGGCCCTTAACTAACCCTTCTCCTATACAAAAAAAAATTTAACAGCTTGAGGTATAATTGATATGAAATTAACCACGCATAAAGTGTACAATTTGATAAGTTTTGACAGGCATCTGTACCTGTGAAACCATTATCACAGTCAAGATAATGAACATACACATCACTTCCAAAGGCATCTTTGTGCCTCTTTATAATCCCTCACTCCTGCTGCTCTCCACCACCTTTCCAAGAAATTCACTGTTCTGCTTTCTGTCCATTTGTATCAGTTTGTATTTTCTAGGGTTTTATATAAATTTAACTGTGCAGAATGTTTTTTCCCCAAGATACATACGGAAGGATAAATGACAAAGACAGTGGATTACCTCTTTGTGAGAAGGTACTGTACAGGCATAATCAGGAAGAGGCAAACAGGCTTCTAAGATACCAGTAATGTCCTATTTCCTAAATTGAGTTGTGAATATACAGTTATTGGTTTGACCCTTTAAATGATTTATATAGTATGTGTGTGAATGAATATTTCCTTTCTTTTTTTTTTTGGTACCAGGGATCGAACTCGAGTCCTTGCGTTGCGCAGGAGGCAACGAAACCACTGAGCTAAATCCCTGGCCCTGAATATTTCCTTTCTATTGAAAGAAAAATGAAGCCTGGGGTATAGGTCCATGATAGAGTATGGGCTTAGCATGCCCAAGGCCCTGGGCTCAATCCCCAGCACCAAAAAGAAAAGAAAAAAACATGAGAAAGATTACAGGTGTGTGCCATCCTAGCCATCTCATTTTTCTGTAGGCACTTGTAGGCATATTTATTTACAACTCTATATAGTTAGAGAGCTGTATATTCATAAGTATATTAATCCACTTGTGAATTCTCTTGAGAGGCTTTCTAGTGAATTTGAAATTTAAGAGACTATTTCATGAAACTATTTTATTATGTCACATTTCACAGCATCTCAGAGCTTCTTAGGTTAACAAGAAAATATTTTCATTTAGAATGTGAACAACTCCCCCCACCAAAGAATTTGAGCAACCTGTTGAGAATAAACAGAAATATATCTATATTTTTCATTTTAGGTACTCCAGTAATTAAAGAGGATGAAGAAGAAGAAAACTAACACCATATTTTCCTCTTTGTGTTAACTTATTTAAATGTGATAAGAACAGTAGATAAGTTTTGTATAATTCTCTATTTTAAAGATTCTGTGTGGGACAGAAAGTTCTTAAAACAATCTCATTTCCAATTTTTTTAAACCTATTCAGTGTTGCTCCCCCAAACTACTAACACTAACTTTATATAGTCTACTTTTCTTTTTGGAAATTACAACTTTTCCATTTTTGTCTTCATTCCCAGTTATATACTGTGTGGCCCTATCTATTGAAATACATAGACCACTCATTTTAATAGCAAAGGAACAAATGTTGTTTATTCATTTGGTTAGTAATTTTTAGGCCAGGGATTTTAAAAGACACCCTTTTGAATCTGTAGAAGGTCCCTCTCCTTATAACTCAGAAGCACAAATGTATCATGCCTTTGGTTCTTAAGGGAGCGTGCCAATGGGAAAGAGTACCTCTTAGAAATACGTACAACAGCAGTCCTAGAAGCAAGACTCAAAGTCCAGTTAGAAAAAGCTATGGTTTAAAAGGAAGAATTCATATCTTGGAGGCTGTCTAGCCCACATTATATTGATTTGTTTTTTTCAAAAAATGTGTAGATTGTCAACTGGAATTTAGGTTGTGTTCACATGCATGGCCACTTGAGTCACCATACAATCAGTCATTCTGTGATCCAGATCAGCAATTAAAATGACTGTTATGGACCTCCTTTGACCAAGAGTGTTACTCATGTGGACCTGTCCTGAAACACATTTTTTGGTTTATAGTTCCTTATAGTTTAAAGTCAATAACGCTAGCTTAAACATCAACCATTGATATGCGTCACAATTTGACCCGATGATTTGGTCTCCTGTTCCTCTTATGGTTAGAAGGGTACAGACTTGAAGACTGAGTTTGATACTTCTTAATAAATGAAGGTTGTGTCCAAATATATATATATATATACATATATATTTCAAAACACACACACACACATACATATATATATATATATATATATATATATATATATATATGGAGAAGTTCTAAGTTGAACAGCTCAGAAAGTGTATTGTGTAAGTGGTTGTGGAGGGAAGAAAGAGATGTTTCAGTGTGGAATCCCAGGCAAATGGCAATATGTTTGAAGATTACCTCGTAGGTGAAGCATTGTAGATGCTTTAACCTCTGAATTGCAAAGCAATAGTTAGATGCAGAGATTAAATTTATTATGTAAGAAAAAAAATTTTTTTTTGAAAATGCAAGATCAGTAACCAGATGAAGTCCATAACAGGTCATGAGTGAATCGCTAGTAGACTGCAAAAAAGAAGTCAGCGGCCTCCTGCCAAATTGTGCCTAAAGTCTCTCAGCAAGAGACTATTGATTCTTATTTCTCCATCTAATGAAAGAGGGGAAAGTCACTTTTTAAAAATGATTGCATAAGTAGTCCTAGGTTTTAGAAATCTACAGCTATCACTTAAGAATCACTTAATTTCTCTAAGAGTCATTCTGATCAAAAGGGGCCACCGCTTTGACAATCAACTCTAAATCCAAACAAGAACACTTAGTCTAGCCCCATTAGCTCCTTCTTTCAACCTGATAGGAAGAAGCCTTTTCCCTAACTGGCTTTTACATTCTAAGCCTTCAGCGTTTCTTTTGTGAACCACAGGCGATGAGCCTTCATGCTCCTTGGTGATGTTTAAGGCCCACCCATAAGCTCAGTGGGAAGGTGATCTTGTAGTTTACACTTCATCCAGTAGGCAAGCTTGAAGCCATATTCCTACATATGGGTATATTTTCTAAAAGTTACTCTGGAAGTGAATATTATAGAAAATGGATGACTTTGTATTGAATTTATTTATGAAATAGTTTATAGTTTTAGTGTTTAATTTTTTTTGAATTCTGTAATACAGACATTAATTTTCTCTTTTTCTTTTTCTTAATGTCTTTTAATCACTGGTGGTTCTCAGAGAAATGTAAGGTGCTTTTCTGTGTCTGTTTTACACAAACTTCACATTCAGTTGTATTCAACAAATATTTGAATGACTTCAATGCATCCCTGTTCCTAGAATTAAAGTCAAAATCCATGCAACTAGAAAATGGAAGATTAGATATATGAAGTTCAGTATAGTCTCTCAAAGCATTCCCTTAACATCCTTTACTGCTGAATATTTAGTTTATATTTAATGCCTTTGGTTTATGCCTCTGAGATTAGAATTTGACCTACTTGATATGGACGATTCCTGTGTTCCTATGTTAGAGGATCATTTAAACTTCTCTTTTTTTTTCTTCCAATACTGTGGATTGAACCCAAAGTGTTTGCACTGAGCTACATCCCCAGCCCTTTATATTTTGAGACAGGATCTCACTAAGTTGCTAAGTTGTCCAGGCTGGGCTCAAACTTGTGATCCTCCTCCTTTAGGCCCCAGAGTGCTAGGATTACAGGTGTGCACCGCCTTACTTCTATTCTTATAAATGATGGTAGAGCTCTGGCATCAGTCCAGTACTTTAATTTTGCACAGTAAATTTGCTTTTCATCTACCAAGGAATTCAACTTTCCTATGTTCTCTAATTCTAAGCCTATGGCCATATTACCTAGCCAGGCTTGCAAGGTTCTTGTGTTCTCTGTTTATAGGATTTTGTTCCTTTTAATCAGAGGTTCTCTACATTGGCACTATTTACATATTGGGCTAGATAATTAATTGTTGTGGGAAACTGTCCTGTGTAGATGTTTAGCAGCATCGCTATCCTCTACCAGGAGATGCCAGTAGCTCCTTCTCCTCAATTATAACAACAGAAGGTGTCTCCAGACATTGCCATCTTACCCCTGAGGGAAAGAGTGGGAACAAATTCTACCCTGGTGCTTTTGTGCCTCAGTGTTCCTTTTGCCCAGTGTCCATATATTTTCACTGCATACCTGTGTGCCAGTGGAGTTGGGTGAAAGAATGTGATGCATTTATAATCATGGATGGAAGAAAATGTTCAGAGGTATTTCCCTTTTTTGTAATTTTCTTCCTTTTTTTTTTTTCTTCAGTATCGGGAATCAAACTCAGGACCTTGTGCTTGTGAGGCAGGCACGGTGCCACTGAGCTACATCCCCCCAGCCCTTTTTGTAATTTTCTAAATTACAAAATTAATTTTCTAATTAGAAGTTAATTTTCTAATTTTTGTAAGTTTCACATAGTATTAGAAACTCAGGGCTAGAAGGATAAACTTACGGTTTTTTTTAAGCAGGACTTCAAATTTTATTTCTTAACATCCTTGCTTATCTTAGGACAATGTTTATTAACCTACTTGTTACTATCAATAAAATTCAACACTTTGGTAGATTTTGCTTTGTCACTAAAATTTAATATTTTGAATATACTTTAGAAAATGGATCATCATCATTCATTACCTAATATACAAACTTTAGCAGATTGTGACAGTCATTAAATATGGAAAAAATATTGTGTAAAGTGTATCATGTATAAAAGTTAGCTGATGTAGACATTGATTTTGAGTGTGATCAGAATGATCCCTGCTCGTTATAACTGGTCAATAACTTGGTATGCTTACTGAACCCATTCCATCCATGTATGAAGACAGTATGAGGCACTTAGGTGTGGTTTCTGAGTAGAATTTTCTTCTTAAACAGATGCTTCTTTTGATACTCTTTGCCAGTGAATTGAAAATGGAATAAGGAGGAATGGAAACTGAATTGTGACTATTGACTTATTCTCAGAGTTGGTGATGTATAGAGTTGGAATCTTCCACCTGGGTTTTTCTAAGGGCTAAATGGAAAAGCATAGGGCCAGCCCAGAAAGGTTTAATTTAGTCACTCACTTTAGAAAGTTGTGGGAAGTATCAAAGCATCTATCATGAGTAGTGTCTCTCTGAGTTCAGCTGAATCATTTGTTCACTAGGACCTTATACATACATATTGGTAAAGGGAAAAAACTGCTAAACTGCAAGTTATCCTTTACCAGAAATTCATTCTTTTGGCACACACATTTATTTTATTTGGGCCTTTTAGTGTGTCTGTAAAAATGAAACAATATTCAGTGTAGCAGAGTTGGTGCTTCTGACACAGCTAACTTGACTGTGTTCCTTTCTCTTTACTCTAGCGTGTCATACTGTTTTCCTTTTGTAAAACTATTAAATAGGTGAAACTTAAGCAATTAAGAGTTATATTTTCTGGGCTGGGGATTTAGCTCAGTAGTTCTGCCGCCTGCCTCCAAAGCGCAAGGACCCAAGGTAGATCCCCGGTACAAGAAAAAAAAAAAAAAGTTACATTTTAAAATCACTGAGTTTTTAGAAATATCATATCTATATATCTAGTCTTACCTTTTATTAATCAATGACTGCAAAGAAAGAAAACTGAAAGGAAAACCTAGACTAAGTCTTATCTTCTTCTGACCTAAGATAAATTTGACACTCAACACTTAGAGAAGTCGTAATTGGATTCTAGGTTATTTCCCATATTGGGCAGGTTAGAGGGGAATCAACCAACCAAATTATGATCTAGCAAATTTAATAAGGGAATGGGGGAGAGTAAACTATTTTTCAGTAGATTTGCACTTTACAATTCTGAACGGGATATTGGTGGAAACTAGTTCCAAAAAGCAGATGGATAAATACGTAGCCTACACATAGATGTTAGAGAATGTAGTCACCCTTGCTCATTCTAAGCCAGCATGAGCAGTTGCTGTCTGTTGAAACAAGCAGAGTCAGGATTTCCTGATTTCCCTACTTGTGTCATCTTCTATATCTGCTGTATCTCAGATCATCCTTCTGGAGGATATGTCAAGTAATTCTCCTACTCAGACACTTTGTGAGTTATCTTCCTCACACCCAGATTTTAAAAACAAATTTAGATGTTGTCTGCATTAAGTTGATGCTAAGTTATATTGGTTGGAAGCTCTTTGCTTCTTTGATTAGTAGGAAGTACCTGCCTCCAAGATGCTATTGCCTACAGTGATCATGCCTATAAAGACTGGTGAGCTGGACGCAGAAGAGAATAAATGTTTATATCTCCAACTGCTTCTCCCAGATTGTCAGTTACAATCATGAGCTTCATTCCAGGATCTTTGGCTTTTAGAACCAATTCCATTCTGAAGAGCATTTTAACATCTATTAATACTTGGGTAATTAATAATCTTTTATACACAGGAATTTTGTAGCATGACTATGACTAAAGTTATTGTGTTAAATTATTTAGAAATATTGAGTTCCTGAATGTTATTTTGTGAGACTTGTTTTAAAATAGTAATAAATTGTGTTATTTTATAAGAAAAGGACATTTGTATCTTTTTTTTGTTACATGATCATTAGTTTTAGCTAATATAGAGCAACTATGGGAACTTCCAATGATATTCCGTTCCAAGAAAGTCAGCCTTTGGATAACTGGGCCAAGGGAGAGGGACTGAGAATAAGAATGAGAATGTACAACCATGCAAGAGTTTATGAAAGCAAGCTGACATAATTCCAATGTAACCAATCAGGATTTCCTGATTTTCCTACTTGGGGATCTTCTAAACCTTTTTTCAGTAGTTTACTACCAGCAACAACATACTTTACTAAATTTATTAAATATTCTACCCTTTCAAATTAGTTGACTCCTGGACAGCAAGTCACTACTACATTTGAACATTCCTAGTCCTCAACTTCCAGAGGTGCACAAAGGTAAATGTTGGCTAGCTAATAGGCCCTTGAGATGAGAAACAGGAATAATCCACAATATCAGTAACATCACACTTTGCTAACCCGTACTCTGTGCTATAAGCCAAAATGTAATTTTGGTTACAGAATAGGCCTGCAATGCAGGTTCTACATCTTATCCCACAAATATTTATGAGGATAACTTGCTTGCTGCTAGCCTTCCTTAAAAAGCAGAAATTTTTAAATTCTGAGCATATAATGAGAAAGCCCTAATCAGATCATAGTTACTTTTAGTTTGTTCTTAGAACAAAGGATGGGCATCTAGGATCCTAACAGTTTTATGCCATATGTATGTATTCCGTTAAATATATATGTGATTATCTAGATATACACAATTGTTTTTAAGTAAGTAAGCAGTAAAAGACCATTCCTCTAGGATGCAATCAGCACTGCAGCTATTAAAAGGTTTAGGGCTGGGCATGTAGCTCAGTGATAAAATACTTGCCTAGCATGTGTGAGGTCCGTCCTGGGTTTGATCCCCAGTACCACAGGGGAAAAAAGTATGTCTCTATACACAGATATAGAAGGATGTCTGTAACATATTGGGTAAAAAAAAAATGAAATCCTATTTGTCCTTAAGAATGTAACGTGTATGTATATGGATAGGGAGTGTGGCTGGTTGGCATGCCAGAACAGGGCTTGTATATATAGTGAGAAATAGAATACATATTGTGGGGTGGGATGCTAGTGCAGTGCTCTTGTACAGTGAAAGGAGTATGTGAGTATAGAGGGGGAGGTAAGTACATGAAGACAAAAGTGTGAAGGTGGTTTGTGTGTACCTGATGCTGGTGGGAATGTAAGAGGGACTTATAGGACTCTGGTGGGTAGGGGCTAGGTCTACAGCAAGTGTTTGAGGGGGACGTAAAGATATGCATGTCTACTGAGGAAGGCAAGAATGCGATATGCATTTGTGAGGGGAGAAATGAGAGGTACTGCTATGATATGGGAAGTGAAGACATGAGTGTATTGAAAAATCTGGAAAAACACATACCAATATTAGCCTTTATATATTCTGTACTGCATGAGTGTTACTTGAGACAGCTATAATTTTACAACCTTAAGGGGAAATCCCACAGGAGACTTAACATTCATGCAATTACTTCTGGTATTGGGTGGACATGCGCAGTCACTGAATCTCTACAGCTAAATGTTTTACAGTTTTTCCCTTTTTGTATTTTCTTGGTATAAAATGGTTTCTATAAAACAAATATTCATTTTACATAGCTGTGATGAATTATTTCTTCAGTGAAACAGGTTTTTAGATGCAAAGTGATTTAAAAGAAAAAAGCTGTAATTCCACACCTGGAAGACTGAGGCAAGATCACAAATTCAAGCCTAGCCTGGGCAACTAAGCAAGACCCTAAATCAGAATTTAAGAAAAGGGGAGGGGGCTGGACATAGCTCAGTGGTAGAGTGCCCTTGGCTCTGATCCCCAGTACCACAAAAACAAAACAAAACAAAAAACACAACTTCCTTTCCAGAAACCTCATTTCAGAATTTTCTAAAATTTTGTAGTAATTTTATATTACTAATATCTGGCTATTTAACCTTCTAACATTGGTCTTGAAGAAAATGTGTAAAAACTGCAAGTTAAAAGTAGTTAAAAGCTTCTGCAAGTTAAACTCCTTACTAGTCAAGGTTAGATTTTTTTTAATATGGTGGAAGTCTTCATATAAAAAAAAAGACACAGAATTTAATTACACTAAAAATTTATGTCAGAAAAATGAGACTACAATTAAAAAACTACTTTTATTTGTATACATCTACTTAATAACTTCAAATTCAGAACACAGTATCAGCATGAACAATTATGACAAAGATTTGAAGTGGGGGAACTAGTTCATATCAACCTCCCCATTTGATTGGTATCTGTATCTTACATAGTGGAAAATTGATATATATACAGCCCTATACTTGCACTATCTTTTAACACCTCATTTTGAAGTCTCAGAATAGTTTTCAATTAAACTGACCCAGATGTTGAAAGATGAGAAATAAGAAATTTGCATTATAAAGCTGAGTAATATCATCTAGTAACTTCATATTTTCCATTAATATAAACCAGGGCAATTTACAATAACAAAATATTCACATCCTTAGTAACAAATAATAGTTCACATTTTTACTGAATACTTCCTGTTGAGTCAGGTCCTGCACTAAACATCTGAACATGCAATTCACATTTAGCTATCACGATGGAAAGTGTCGCTGATTCACATTTTTCACCACTGACGATGCCATGATGACAGCTTGCTCCCAACACTTTGCGTCCAAGCCTTTCCCTGGCATTTCTGCCTTTGTGCTCTATTTGTATTGCAGCAAATCCTGGTGCTTGCTTGCACAATTTCCCGAAAGTTAATAAATATGCAGGCCTGACTCCGGGTCCCTCTCCCCCACAAAACAAACAAAAAACAGAACAAGGATGTCTTTACTACTCAGAGACATGCCTGCAAGACCACACAGGGACAATAAAAGCTGCTGTGATCCAGGTCTGCAGTAAAGTCCCTTCTCCTGGGTCTCAGAAGTGCCCCTCCAGGCCTAACTGTAGGAGGGCGCCCTCAGCCTCTTCCTCCTCCTCTTTGGCCTCCTCCTCTCTGATTTGCACCAACAACTGGAAGAGGTTAGGGGCCGGCCCTTCCGTAGCCCCAGTCAGCCACAGCTGCCTCCGGATGGCCCCGCTGTGGGTGGCCCCCGCAATGACCTGCTCCAGGCGGGCCTGGTTCACGTTAACTTTATCAATGGCCCCCTTTTCAACCACTTTCTGCAGGAGAGGCTCCAGACGAATGACATAAGCTGATAACTTTTCTCCTGGGTTCTGGTAAGTGTTCAGAAATCTGACCTGCGCGTCCCTAGAGCTCTGGACGCTCCCAAACACCTGTTCTAGAGCCTTTAGGCATTCACCAGTGGTAATGGCTGGGTCGTTGGTCTTCAGGATGCGAATGACATCAGCGGCTGGGCCTCTCAGACTCTCCATCAACCGGCGCCTCTTTTCTGCATCAGACACCTGCCACTCCTCCATGACCTCATTAGTATGCTCCATCCAGGGATCAAAGGTCTCTTCCCCAGATCCTGGGATGTCCCTCCCCGAGAACAGCGTTAGCTTCTTGTACCATATGGATTCAACAAGAGGCTGTATAACATTATCCAAAATGTAGTTGAGCATTTCTGCTGGCATTTCTGGGGCTGGAGCAGGAGGAGGGTTCTGAAACCCAAGAACACGGGCAACATCTTGCACGGTCCATCCCTCTCTAGCAAGGAAGAGGTGCAACCTTTCTAAAAACTCAGCATCGGGAGTGGGGGGCTTAAAGACCACCTTCCAGACCCCTCCTTTGCCCGGTATTTCCCTAGGGATCACAGCGTAATCGATAGCACCAGTGAGCTCTAACAAGGCTGCTTTCGCATTCTCTTCCCTCCAGAACATTCTTCCAAGTACTCGACAGGGGACCTGGGGCATCGCAGCCTGGAGGGTCTCTTCAATTTCGGCCTCATCACAGTTCACTGGGATCCCCCAGACCAACAGAGCTCTCTGGGAGTTCACATCCATCCCCCTGCACCAGTCTTCCAACAGGGTCATGGCCATTTCCTCCAATTATCGAACGCACCAAAGGCTCACGGAGCTCAAGCACAAAACACAGTCTCCCAGGTAGGTGTGGCAAACGTGGCGAGCTTCAGGCAATCACAATTATCAAAGAACACCAGAATCCAGCTCTCGCCACGACGCCGTCCCCAAAGTCAGTCCGCGCCGCCTGGTTCCGGGGATGCTCAAGGACTCAGTCACGCGGTGGTCGCCATCTTTTGCCCCGGGTCGGGGTCCGCAGCCAGCAGCCAGGGCGTCGTGTAGCCACCCAGAAGTGAGAAGCCCGGACTGGAGTCCAGGGCAGGCGACTCTGGGAGGGAATGGCCGGATGTGGCCGCGGGGCGTGGCTGCGCCTCCTGCAGCTGGGGCGGCCGGACGCGCTGTCGTTCGCGGAGCCGACGGGACTGGACGTTCGCAGTCGGGGCCTGACCTTCAGGCGGGCGGGCAGCGGTTGTCAGGCAAAAGGAAGGCGAGGCTGTTCAGAGGTCGCGGCGCCAGGGCGAGCTGGCGAGCGGCTTCTTCGCGGTCTACAGGACCCCTCTGGGCGGCGACCACGGGGAATGGAGGTAGCAGAGGCGCGGGAAGGACGAGAAGCGAGGCTTGAGGGGGCAGCGTACGCCGCCGAGGCGTGACTGCTGCAGTGGAGGGCGTGGCCGGCTCGCCAGCCCCCTGCACGCACCTTCCGTGCGTCCCAGCGTCGGAGCCCGCGCCTCCGTGGCCATGGCAACGGTGTCCCGGATGACTCGTGACCCGCTCGTTCTTTTGGCCTGAGGGTGGAGCGGTTGCCGTTGTGTCAGTAAGGTGCATTTCCTTTTTCATATTTTCCAGGGGGTTTTTTTACAATAAAAACTAAGCACCAGGTTTAAAAATAATCTAATTCTAGAATGGATTTAAAATACTGAAGATGCCTGTATCATGTTGGACTTGTTTTCTCAGGTTGCTCATTCGCCTCGGTAGTCTATGCTGTATATGAATACTGGTGAGCACCCCAATTCTCCCCTGTACCACCTGTCCACGCTCTGCAACCTCTGTATTTTATCCCAATAAAATTGAAATGTAGGCGTATGCAATCCATGTGTGTGAGAGAGATCTCTAAAATTTTGTTAACCACTTTAACAGTTTTACCCTGAGTGTAACTGGGGTTTGTGTACTATCCCTAGTGTCGCCTAGGCAAGTGTCATTTCAACCAGTCGATTCTTGTATTGAATAAATTTGATAAAACTGTAGTTTTTAGCAGGGTGTGGTGGCGCATACCTGTAATCCCAGTACTGGGGAGGCTGAGGCAGGAGGACCACAGCGAGTTTGAGGTCAGCCTGGGCTACATGGTGAATTCAAGGCCAGCTTGAGCTACATAAAGAGACCTTGTCTCAACACCCCCCCCCATTGTCGTTTTTTATATTTCCTGTTACCCTACGAAATTTAACGAAAAAATATGCATTTTGGTCATTCTGTATTTAAATAATTAGACTGGTAAATTACAAGGTCTTTGTCTACTCAGTAGTCTTTGTCGCCAGGCAAACTGTTATTTTCTCTGTTCTGGCCTTAATGACAATGGGTGAAACAGAATCTTTGTGGCTCAAAAATGCCATGTAGGGCTGGGGATTTAGCTCAGTGGTTTTGCCGCCTGCTGCGCAAGCGCAAGGACCCAAGTTCAATCCCCGGTACCAAAAAAAAAAAAAAATGCCATGTAATGTCCCTCCAAAACAAGGCCTACTTATGTCACTCTCAGGTGGTGAAAACCCCCCTAAACAGACACAGCATTCAACTCTGAGGTTTTACAACCTTATTTAATAAAAGGTTTAAAGATACAGAAGAACATTCAAAAGTAAATAAGTTACATAGATACATTACAATCACATCAGCAAGATTCTTTAGTGTATTAATTTTTTATAAAAAGCACACAAAAAATAAAATCTTCCGTCTGGTCTATCACAACTGTACAGCAAAAGAGGTAATATGTATATATATTTATATATGTACACTATTTTAATATGTAACAGTCTTTTTAAAAAAAGGGTGCCACAGGCAGCAAACACACAAAAGGCAGTGTCTGATTTTTGTTTCAAAATAAAAGGAATATACTTATTTATATGCTATTAAAATACCTGTATAATAATTACAGACTGTCAAGGCTGTTCCTGTGCTCTGTCCCCTCCAACAAGGCCTTCAGCTTTGAGACAAAGAAGGAAAAGGTGAAACGGCTGCAAATTGTTAATCAGAGGCAAATAGTAACACAGCCAAATGTGGGGCAGACACAATTGTATTATAAAAATATGCATACTTCCTGTAAACCTAAGGAGTTGGGCTTGCCAGTCTGACAATAAATAACATCCCAGAAAAATGAACCCCAGTGAAAACATTTAGACAGCTGCGGCTTGAATATGTGTTGCATTCCTTCTTCATCTTAACTTTGGGCACATAAGAAAGAGGTTAGTTCACTGAGGCAGTTAGTACAGGGAGTCCTTTTAGACATAAGCAGCACAAGACCTCTGTGCCAAGGGGGCGGTGGGGTGTCAGGGGGGTGGGCAAGTGTGCACCTTAGCCATGAGGGGGGCTGCTAAAGGCATGGAGGACAGTAATAATGGCACTGTCTCCTCAGGTGGGTAAGAGGCCTCAGAAATGGTAGACACCAGGCACTAGGGTCAATTTCATAACTTCTAACAATGCAAATGGAGGCGGGGAGACTGACATGGTAAGATGGTGTGGGGAGGACATTATAAAGCTGGAGCTGTTTGCAGTTTAACTTGTTAAAGCAAAGAGCTCTAAAAATAGAGGAAAACAAAAGACAAGCCTAATGTATTCATAGGGAGAAAGCACCATTAAGGATATACCTATGCCAGCTTCTGTGGCTGCATTTAACTTTACTGAGTGATCACTTGCCACAATTGCATCTGTCCTCTAAAACAATTTGTTTTTCACATTGCATTCTAGATACAAATGCATTCTGGAATATGGGCTCGCCTACGATGCGGTATCTGATGCGGTTAATTCCAAGAGGTACCATCTTGGCTTTCCTTGGCTACATTTGCCTGGTCTGGTCTCTGTGAGCTTAGAAGAATAGAATCACTTTCTTACTGGGAAAAAATTTTTTTTCCTAGTACTAGATGTTACCACTGAACAGAAAGATCTCATGTGACTGAAGGAGGTTTCTGTTAACACATGTCCATAAAGGGGCCTAAAACCAAATATGGTTTAAATAGAAAAACCTTGGGAAGCTTAAGTAGCACTTTGGGGCTCAGCTGTGAAGGCACTCATATTTATACAAGTGATTGAGAAGAGAGCCTAAATTTCCTGCCCTCCTTCTAGAGATTCCACTGGATTTTTGCAGTCTTGAGTCTTGGAGCTTGTCAAAGCCCTAACGGGGAAGCTGGAAATCTGAGTAGATGTCTATGAGTCTGGGGGGGTAGAATTTTGTTACCTTCATAACTGGGGTCTTATAGAACCCTTATTAATGCAGAAACAAATGTAAAAACATCTCATAGCGCATAGTGTAAAAGCAAAATTCCCTTTCCAATCCCAGTTACTGACAGGATGTCTTTAGGGTATCTCCTAGGTAGCAGCAGAATGAATCCTGGGTTCCTAACATGCTGGCCTGTCATATACACATTCACTTAGAATTTCTTTTGCACAACTAAAGTTGAGTAATGAGATCATAAAAATAACTCAAGCTCCCCATGAGACTGGCAAGTAAAGGGGCCTTCAGAAAATTCTGGCTGCTTCACTTCAATGATCCTATGCCAAATAAGGCTTCTTCAAGCCAGGATGCAGGCCTGGTAAACAAAACTAAAATTCCAGCCTGCTGCCAACTCCCTCAGGGAATTTCAAAGTAGCAAAGGAGAGCAACAAAAACTGCCTTTGATCTCCCTCATTCCTGCTAGTCTGTGTGTGGCTTTGGGGACACCCTCCACCTTCCCAGCCTCTTTCAGTGCTGCTGTCATTCCTACTGGTGGCAAGAAATTCCAGAGCAACAAGGGGAGGGACCCTAGGGCCTGGGAAATTGGGGGTGTCAAGAAGGTGCCTTGTTTTGGGATAAATGCACTTGGGCCTCTGGAAAGCAGGAGGCCCCTGGTCCCTGAGAGGATGTTGAAAATTAAATATTAAGAATAAATAAATAGCTCCCAAATGACACGAGTCAAAGAATGAAGGCTCCTGTCCCATCTAGTTAGGAGACCTCCTCTCCCAGGGAAGAACCCAGAAATCTCTAGCGCACAGGGACTGGAAGGGGGGGGGGCACTGGGGTTCAAGCATCAAAGGGAATGGGGGTGTGTGTGGGGTTAAGTGGCAGCTACTGAGGGCAGGACAGACACAAGCAGGGAGCTGGCAGCAGCTGGAGGACCTACTTGAGGCTAAGCTCTGTTAATAGCCTCCAGGGCCCAACGTATTTGGCAAAAAGATGGGTGGGAAACAGGAGGGGCTTGTCAAAAGCTCCTTCGAGCCCAGCTCTGTGGCTTCTGGCTTCCGGCTTCCAGCCTCTGTACAGTTCCTTCCCTGGAGCAGGCTGAGAGCATGGACAGGAACAGTGGCCCCTTCCCCAAACACTGGAGAAAACTTTGCAGACCAGTACCTGTCTTGGGCTTCACTCCCCGTGGAATGAGGCAGTGGCCTGGAGAGGGTCACTGGAGCAGCTCAGGCCTGGACACTGCCGGCAAGGACAGCACTAGTGTCAGGAACACACACCCTCCAAAGGATCCCTTTCTTGGGCTTGGGGCAAGGCCTGTTGCAGCCTTTCAGGTCCTCTGGGGTAGGGGGAATAATGCTGCAATGGGGCGAGCTTGTGCTTGGCTGGCCAGGGTGGCTTCCTGGAGATCAGAGGAGGAGGGAGCACAGAGGAGGAAAGAGGCTGCTCTGTGCAGAGGCAGCCAGATCAGAAAGGGCCAGCTCCCTGCAGCTCCCCAGGGGTCCGACCAGCACACTCACAGTTCCAGGAAAGCAGGAGGACAACTTCCCAAAGACCAAAGGCAAAGAGAACTGGATCCTGCAGCCCTTAACACTGCTCCTGGGGCCTTTATAAATAAAAAAGCCATTTATTTCACTGTCTGAATTGTTTTGCTGAGAAATGTCCACATGACCCTCTGGGCTCGCTCTGGAGGCTCCTAGCCAAACTCAGCCCTTTTCACCCGCACTCTCCTCCTGGGGGCGCAGGGCAAGGGCAGCAGCCTCCTTGGCCTCCTTCTCCTTCTGCCGCAGGGCTGCAGCCTTCTTCTCCTGCTCTGCGTGGCTCTTCATGTGGGCACTGCGGCTCTTCACCTTGTAGAAGACCCTGAAGCAGGGCAGGAGGGGCGCAGGTAAAAGGCTGGCCAGCCCCAGCACCCCTGGGTGTGTGTGGGGGAGTACACCAGGCCTTCCCACTTGCAGCCTCCCCAGCCCCCCTCACCTCCCTCACCCAGCCTGCAGGCCATAATCTAAAGCTGCCCCTGATGACATCATTGCCCTGGCAACCCACTGAGCCAATCAGAAGACAATTTCAGCATTCCCAGTAGCACCCCCTCCCACCCCAGGGCAGGGACAATGTGGGCCATCTTACCTGCCACATTTTTTACAAGGGAAAGTGTTCTCCTGGTTCTGGGTCTTATTAAATGCCTCTGGTTTTTTCTTCTTCTCTGAGAAAGGTAGTGCCCTTCGTGACTTCCCTGGCCCCTCCCTTGGCTTCTCTGAGGCCTGGCCACCTGCTGACTCAGACTCAGGGGCATTCGACTCATGGCTTCGAAGGATGAGGATGTCATTGGCCTAGAAAAAAATCAACAAGGAGAGTTGAGTGCTTCAGGGAAGTACGGACCCAGAATTCTGGAATCTCAGGGAATACAGGGACCTTAAAGGTTGCAAACTCCTGCCACACAGTAACCTAGCATCCTCTTGAGTCCTTCCAGTAAAGGGTCCTCAGTGCCTCCTCAGACGCCCACTTAATCTTGGGTCCACTCTAGCTCTATTCTTTACAAAGTCGCTGGCTTTTAAGCCATTAAAAAAAAAAAATCATGTCCCTGTGATGTGACAAGTGCTGGGGACACAGAAATTGACAAGACCCCTGCCCTCAGAGAACTCTGGGTCTAGTGAAAGGACAGATGCAGACGTGCAGGTCACTTGCTGAGCACACAGAGCACGGCAAACGCTGGACAGAGGGGAAGAACAGAGGGGAAGAGCAGGTGTCAGAGAGCAGAGAGGACGGGTGATACAGCCCTGGAGGAGGTCCTGCTCTGGGCCTCCAGTGGGGGCCCCAGATGGCCATGACAATGTGTCCTGGATCAACCCTTATAGGAAAGTGTTCACCAAGTCTGCAGAACTCAACAAAGTGTAGATACAGAGCATGTGCTTCTGGTGCAGACTGGCAAGCTTAGAAGAGAGCTGTATTCAGCTTGTAACATCCTGCAAGTCTTAAGTGTACAAATCCTCATCCCTCCCCTTTCCTGGTAGAGCTCTTCAGGCCAAGGGCATCTTTGGCCAGAAGTCTTGGCCTGTTATGTGGTAGACAGAGCACTGCACTAGGAGTCCAAGGACCTGGGGTGTGACCTCATGCAAGTCACTTTGCATCTCTAAACCCAACTGTCCCATCTGCAAAGTAGAGGTTAACACAGTATGGAGTTACTCTTGAGATACTGAGACAATGGAAATTAAAGGAACTCTGCAGAGAACATAGGTGAGGGACAGTTATTATTACTGCCACGGTCTCAGCTCCATTTTAGATACTGTCAGGCAATAGACAGCCTTCATGGGGTTGACTGAGGGCTGAACTATGGCTCATGAATGATTCCCCAGTCTCCCGCATACGCAGTGGGTTTTCACAAAGCCTTTTTCCTCCAAATCTCAGAACCAGAAGCTGCATGGTGTAAAAAGAAATAGCCTGGCATCAAGCTGCCTATTAGCTGTGTTATCTTGAGCCTCAATTTCCTCATCTGTGAAATGTCATTAATAACAGTCCCTACCACATAGTTTTAAGAATTAAACAAGTTAATAGCATAAAGTACTTGGTGCACTTTCTGCTATTGTGATAATGAGGATTTCCACCATGTTCCTGCTCTGCCCTCCCTCACTGGGCTCAGGGAGTGGAGGTGGAGTCACACTTACCGCCTCATTGGCCTGGAGTGTCTGCGTGGCTTTGACAGCAGCTGCCCGCCGGCTGCGCTCTCGCCCCTCTTCCTGCTCCCCCTTCTCCTGGATTTCTGGCACCTCTTCCTCCCCCTCTTTCCTGGGCTCCTTTTCCTCACTCTTAGGCTCCAGCCCCTCTTCACTTGGGGATTCTCTTCTGGGAAGAGGCACCCTTGGGAACTTCTGGGAAGTCTATGGGGGATAAGAACAAGCTCAATCACACTGCAGTAGTGCACTGATTCTGACCCAGCCAGGGCACATGAGCCCTTACTTGTCCTGTTGGTCTGGTTGAGGTCACAGCCCTCCCTTGGCTAGTCTCCCTGGGGACAAAACACAGTCTTGAGACCTGGGAGCCCTCATGATGAGACTGAGCACTTGAGACTGAGCCAGGGCAGCGAGAGAACATGCCAGTACTCACAAGCCACCTGACCTCCTGGACCTAGAGGACACATCCTCAGGCAGAGTGGTCTGGTGAGGCAGGCAGGAGCCTTGAGCTCCAATTCCAAACCATCTTTGTAATACTTTCTGTATCTCTACACCCTTTCCATCTGCAAAATGGGGAGCAAACCACTCCCTGTCTTAGAGCAGCATGTTACCAAGTGTGAACTTGTAACCCTGAGATGGTATCAGACAGATACATGGATGTAGAATAAAGTAACATTGCCCATTCAATTCTTCTTCAGTCCTGGTTAGGTGAAGTACAAAGTCTCAGATTGCTATTACGATGTCCTTTAGGCTTCTGTAGACCTGATAATTTCTTTAACAGAGATCCTCAGTCTCAGAACCTTGGCAGGTAACACAGCATCTAACTAGAATTTGGCAACAGTGGTTGGTTTTCATATATATTTATTTTTACCCGTTCCTTCTATTTATGGGAAACAATACTGGTTTTCTATTCATGATTGTGATATAGAGCTTCCTTTTTGAGTAAAAAATGGGTTGATACAAAGAAAAATATTAAGTAATAGCACAAGTGGTGTGTGGACATGACAAAAATGGTAATGGTGACATATGGTAGGGTGCGGATAGAGCAGAAATCACAAAGGTAATGCAAGAATGACTGAAGTTTGGGAAAACAGAGCTAGAGGTCTGCTATGAGGAGGCAACAGTAGTTGGTGGTACAAATACTATGGGGAAATTCTCCAATGTTCTGCACTGGTATCATGAACAATTACTGTGACCCCAGCTGTCTACTACAGGGCAAAGCTCCAAGGTCTAGGGCTGGGGACATCAGCTCTTGTGGGCTCTAAAGACCCTGATTTCCTCTGCCTGCCCTCTGCAGACTCCTAGAGAGCTTGGCCCTGGCCCCAGACCCTGCCAGGCTCTAGGCTGCTGGAGCAGGAAAAGGAATTACCTTAATATCCACTTCAACCTCTTCTTGGGCTGACTTCTCATCGCTTATATCTACATCCCCAAAGGTAAGAGTCCCATTGCGACCAATTTTCACTTGTTTCTTGTAGGTGTAGTAGAATTCCACACACTGGGCCACGGTCTTGGTCTGGATCTGGTTTGAAGCCAAAACTGAGGTTAGAGTGTGCTGGTTTGGCTTGCCTACCTGGAGAGAATCCAGCCTTTCTCCTTCCTATATGTCCCCCTTCACGTTCAGGCCAAAAACTAAATGAAGTAAACCCAGGAAATGGAAACATTTCTCTAGTGCCCGCTCTGCCACAAACCCAACCAATGCAATTAACCAATGCTTCAGCACTACTGTCAAGAAATAAAGAATGATACAAGGGACAACACTGGAGCCCTGGGGAGATGTGACTGACTTATGAATTGCGTAGTAGAGGGTATCACTGTGTCTGGATAAATTTCTTGGAACTGTTTATGATACTGTGTTTTTATTGAAAAATAAATCATTTTTAGGTAATATACATTGAAGTCTGTTGAGTCACATGACAGACTATGTAACTTTTCATGATTAGCTAAAATGGAGAAAGGAAGACAGTTGTGTGTTTATGTGGGTATGTTTAGATGCAGACAGAGAAAGAGAAAAGCAAAGGGGGCCAATGCTAACAATTAATAAATCTCAGTGAAGAGTCATCAGGTATTTATTGAACTGTTCTTTCCACTTTTCTATTAAGTTTAAAACTTTTCCAGTTAAAAGGTCAAAGGGAAAAGTCGGGCCATCAACCACATCCAAAACCAGCCCCAATCTGGCAACACAGATGTGCCTCAGCAACCCGGGCACAGGTCCATTCCTCTCCAGGGAGTAGCGAGTGACCAGGGAGCAGTGGCTGACAAGTGAGGCAGAGAAATGTCACTCTATCTCAGGGAGGACTCAAGGCAAACTAATAAGAAAACCCTGGGAAACCTGAAGAGGAGGCAGAAGGCCAAGTCTTATTCCTAAACCTGCCACTAAATGGCTATGTGGCCTTATGCAAGTCACCCACCTATCTAATTTCAGCTTTGCATGTGTAAATATAAGGGGATGAGGCAGCTCCAGGGACCTCTCAATTTTGAAATTTTAAGCCTTCCCATTTTATAAATCTGACTGGCCACTGGGTTTAGGCTCTGTACTACTTCCCATCCAGGGGTTCTCTTATACTCCCTTGCCCTTCCTCAGGCTCCCAGACTGCTCTGTCCCTGCTGGGCAGGGAGCTCCTGTCCAGGAGCCCAGGGGCCACCGAGGTCCTCTGTGCAAGGAGGAAACAGACATGCTTCATCTCATGGCTGAGTCATACACTTGTTAATTAGACTGCCACACTTTTCCTGAAAATTCTCTTGGATTATTCGTTTGACCACTGATCTGCTCTTTACATTAGGCACTAGGGGGCCAGGGATTTAGCTCAGTGGTTTCGCCGCCTCGCAAGCGGAAGGACCCAAGTTCGATCCTCGGTACCAAAAAAAAAAAAAGAAAGTAAAAATCATTAGGGGCTGGGGATTTAGCTCAGTGGTTTCACCGCCTGCTGCACAAACACAAGGATTCGAGTTCAATCCCCAGTACCAAAAAAAAACATTAGGCACTAGGGGCACCTCAGTGAATTTCACAGGGATATACGTCCTAGTGAAATTACCTGATCAGGGGACAGTGTTACTAAAATACAACACACGACTGTCCTCTTCACAGAGCCTTCATGGAGGAATTTGTCAGTACTCTGGATGGGCCAGGGAGCAGTCCCCAGGGCCAATCCTGACACAATCTACCATCCAGTAGGAAACAGTCTGTTTTCAGAAGCTCTTTACCCTTGGTGGGTCATGCAGCTCACTCTTCCTACAGCCCAGGCTTTGTGAGGTGGAGATGGAAAAGATACAAAGCACTGTACCCTTCCAGGAGAATATGCGAGATGACAAGATAATCTAGGGAGCCCAGGCTCGTCAGCCAGTGGCTAGAAGGAAGCCCTGGCTCAGGCAGGAAGAAGGCAGAGGTCCCCCAGGTCAGTGAAACAGGCACTTGCTGGCTGTCAGTTCCCCTCACCCTAGAGTGACCACCTTTCTCTTTCCTCCTTTCTGCATTCCTTTGGGGAATGGCTCACCTCTTCTCAAAGCCCTTATTCCCATTTTATCCTTCCACCTATTCTAAGTATGAGGCCAGGTCCCCATGTGGATTGAGACCCCAGAGCATGGTCACACCACCCAAAGGCAGGAGAAAGGGGCGCAGAACCAACAAGGGAGAAAGGCCAGATCTTTCCTCTTCTTGTAATGTTTAGAAAGCTGTCTCCAAGGCTCCTTGATGACAGTGATGTGACCACGAGGAGAGCTTAGTCAGCAACTATAGGTGCCCCAAAGTCACATATGCAGCTCCTGGCCCTCACTTGGCCCCAGGAACAGAGCCCAACTTACCAGCTTCTGCACCAGGAAGAAATCTTTCTTGTAGATGGCAATGCCTTTGTTGAACAGCTTCCTTTCAGCCATCTTCCACTGGTCAGAGCCTGAGGGGCAAAGAGGGAGCCAGGGTGTGAGGCGGGGAGGCCTGTGAGCACTGTGGGGAGATTCTGACCAGCTGCAAGTGTGAGGCCATCCCTTCATGGTCTCTGCAGCATTCAGAGCTGATTCTACACCCTGTCCCTTGAGGCCTCCCTCTCCTTGCTTATGAAATAGGAACATCTAGACCCACCTCACCAGGTGTGACGAGGACAAATTGACAATGTGGGTGAAGCCCTTGGTACTCTCTGGTATAGACAAAAAAGGGCAATAACAGGGATCAGTAATAGTAGCTTCTAAGATCATATGATTTGGCAAAAGTCCCTTTTTTTTTTTTTTTTTGGTACCGGAGATCGAACTTGGGTCCTTTCACTTGCGCAGCAGGCAGCGAAACCACTGAGCTAAATCCCCAGCCCCAAAGTCCCTCTTAAAGTAAAATGTCCAGAATGAGACATGTGGTCCAAGGGCCAGCTAAGTTCTGGGTACCTGATGCCAATTTGGATGGTATCCAACTGGGTTCCTGGTCTTGTACTTGTGACCTAGTTGTTTTACCTGCCCACCTCTTTCACCCCTTCCCCTCTAGGGCATGGGAAGTCCCTGCATGAGCCACCCTGGTTCTGGTACCAGTTCCTGCATCCGGCTCTTGGCTGATCCCCCACTTTCCTGCCTCCGCCCAGGGCTATGGCTCTGCGCTAAGCAGGGCCCTTGATGCTGGAGACCCACCCCAGCCAGGCCCACCTGTGTAGTGGTAAGTTGCCAGTGGATGGTTGTGGGGCCGCAGGGGCTTCTTCAGTAGCAGCTTATTCAGAGTTTCCTGGAGGGAAATGAGAGGAAGTCAGGTCCCTGGCCATTGTCTCAGTGGTGGACTGAGCAGCCTAGGTGCAGGCACAATGCAGAGGGCCTCCTTAAGTCTCAGAGTAAGGTGAACACTTCCTCTTGGCCCCTTAACTGCTGAGCAACAAGAGGTCTCAGAAGATGGTAGAGGCATGGCAGGTGGGGCTACTCAGAAACCAGGAACTCATAAGGGAACTGTAGCTTCCAAGGCAGGCCGCAGCAACAGAGAAGGCCCTCACAGTAATGGTTGTGGCTCACAGTGGGGACCCCACTGATCTAAAATTGGGGATTGGGATGGACAGGAGGACCCTGCATACCAAAATGTAGAGTTTGGAACTAGAGCTCCCTCGAGCCAAGCTGCTACAATCCCCCCACCTTGGCCAGACCCTCCTGTCCACCTCAGATATGCCAGCCTTCCTGTGGGACCTTCCCTAAACCAACACAACTCTCTTACCAGGATGTCTCCCCTGGACTCGTGCAGAAAGTGCAGGGCCAGCTCCTGGTTAGTGCCAGCACCAGGGAAGATGCTGGAGCAGGCAGCTGTCAGCAGGTCTTCCACTGGATTCACAGCAGCATAGGGGACAGGAGAGGAAATCACGTTCAGGGATGGCATGGCCAGGCCAGTCCTCCTCATGTACCTACCAGCCCACCTGGCCTGCTCACTCTCGGGATCCCATTTACCTTGCCTCTGCTTCTCCCGGCTGCTCTCTAGGTTCTCCCATGGCTGCCATACCAGGTCAGCCTTGTGGGGGTCTGCAGCTGCCAGGGCGCGGTCCCTCATCAAGGGAATTTCTGCTTGGAACCGGGTACCCACATTGATGCGTCTGTAGCAGAAGGGCAGGGAGTGAGGCCTCACTTTACAGGAACGGTTACCCTGACTTTCTCCCAGAGGATGGGACTAAGAGGGGGAACTGGCAGAAGCCAGGTGCAAGGAATGGTTTCTGGGAGACTGTGAGAACAACCTGGCACCTAGCACAACCAGAGAGACAAGGCTCAAAGGCTGGCAAGGGGAGAAGCTGTTCTGTGTGGACAGACAGGGAGAGAGTCTCTTGGAGCCCCACCTAGCTCTCCTTGGAGACAAATTCAACCAGAGCTGCTCCTTTCCTTTCCCTGAAACTTCCATGCAGAAGCAGGGTAAGGACAGCAGAGCCCAGGGCCAACTGCAGAAGTGCAGAGGTCTCACAAGACCCTCCTCTCGTTCCCCGAGCCCACCTGCATGCACTCGGCCCTCTTGGCCACCCTCATACCATGGGCCCCAGTCAGGCTGCACTTACGGCTCGATGCTCACAGGGGTGGCCTCCCCCATCACAGAGAGGATGGGCGGGGTGACTTCAGCGCTGTCTATGAGACAAAGAGCAGGTTGGTAAGTGGTACCGTCCTCCCTTTAGCAAAGCACCCCAGCCCTGGGTAGCTGCAATCCACGCAGGAGAGTCATAGTTGTGACTCACTGAGATCACTCAGAACTCAGGCACTTGAGTCCTACTGTGCAACGTGCTGTGACGACCCAGGCCCTTGACTAAATATTTGCGTGCCTCAGTTTTCACACCTGCAAAAAGGGGCCATTTGTCTCCTGGGGCTAACGTAAAGATGGAATGAAATAAAGCATGGAGCTGGGCACTCGGTAAACATCAGCTATTATTATTAGCGCTGCTAATAACCCTAGCACCAATGCTGACTTCCTGCTCCCAGGACGTCCCACACTACAGAATTCAACATAAAACTGTGGTTTTCTAGCAAAGAGGCTAAAACTTTGGATACACTAAGGAAGTGTTTTGTATCTTCTCATTTCCTCTCTGGAATTTCTACCTTAGTTTCTTCCAAGCTAATCTGATAATAAGCCCCATGAGCAAGCAAGCCCCACACTCCCTTGCTTAAAAACAAACACCAAATATGTACTTTTGCCAATACCTGTCTGCAACAGGAGATAAAAACCTCAAGGCTCCACTTCCATGTATACCTCCCATGAGTCCCTTGTCTGCACCCTGGATCCTTGCAGACTGCTTACCTGGTGGCCCCTTGCTCTCTCTGCACAGTCCCATCTTCCTTTGCCTCGAGGGCGCTCCTTGCCCCCCCCCCCCCAGTTAAACTCAGCTTTAGCCCCACCCCTTCCCTCATGCTTTCCTCACCATGCCAGCCCTCTGCAGACCAGGAGTTTAGTGTCACCCTCACTCACTGGCTGCTGGTCCCATACTGCCAGGAACCTTCACTTTTCTCTCTCTGGCTTTCAGGTCAACTCCCTAATGACCCTGCACTGTGCTTTCTCTAGAACAGATCACAGTGTCCCATATATTACTGGAATCCTCAAGGGACCCAAGTCAAAGCTTTGGACCCAAGTGCTCAGTAAATACTGCTACCAGGCTGATCTCTTCCTGGCTGCCATTCTGTTCTCCCTCTCTGTGGAGACTACCTTCGTAACCCAGTCGGAAGAAGCTTCCCAGGGACACCATAAAGGGGGCAGCAGTCAGTGCAGAGCAAGCCTTTTCCCACCCACAGACAGCAGGGGGCACCAGAAAGCTACATCATGGGAGAGTCTGGGTCAGAGACAAACTGGGTGAAGGCAGCCATGTGATCCTCCCACATGACCCTTTCTACCACCCTAACAGATAGGACTTTCCCACCCCCATCCCCAGGGGAAATGATCTTTTTGTGAAATGGGCAACATTTTTCAGCAGTACACCACCCAGGCCAGCCAAACACTTCCAAAAATGCTCCCGTCCAAAATGACTGACTTGATATTCAAGAGGCCTGGAAGACCAGATCGGCCTTATTTACCCATTAAAAACTTGGTAAGGGCCTTATGCCTGCTAATGATTCTTACCACACCCCTAGGAGGCTGAACCACAGGAAAATGCCATTTGTGCATCCCCCAAATAGCTGGATATTGGCAATTTGATCATCAACCAAGAACTACTAATCCCCTTTTTAATACTAAAGAAACTGAGGCCCAGGGACTTTAAATGACCTGCACAAGGGGATGTGACAGTAAGGAACCTCAATCCAAGCAGAAAGGCCGACTCCCCCATACCCACCCCACTCCTGTCCTTGTAACAGGACAACCTCCTCTTCTCAAAGGAGACACTAGAGTCCCTTCTCCCAGAGCAGAGCCTCAAGCCCAATTCCCAGCAAGCCCCTAGGCTGAGCTGCCTCTCTCTCGAGTCCCTACATCCTGGCCGCCGCCACCACCACTGTCACCAGTGGGGGAGGAGTCACTCACTTGACCGGAGCAGGGTGCGATGTGCACTCTTTGGCGTGATGGGAGGAGGGGCTGGGATGCTGCTGGTTGATATGATGGCATTGAAGTAGAGACCGGAGCCTTCCCGAACAGGGCTAAGGATGGGAGGTGGTGTGTAGGGGGGCAGCTCGAAGCTTCGCTCAGAGGGGTGGTCAGCTAGGCGAACAGGAGAACGCAAGTGGCTTTGGTAGGGGGTGATGTTGGAGTACACCGAAGGAGCAATGAAAGTGCCTGCCTTGGTGGGGATGATCAGGGGCTCTGGCCGTGGCCGCTGCTTTGGTTTCCGCACAGAAGGCTCCCCCTCCAATTTGACATTCAGGTCCTCAGCCTGGAGAAGGAAACAGATCAAAGCTGGCTCAGCCCCTTGTGTCTCAGGATAACTGAAGTCTTGACCACGGCCTGCCAGTCTCACCTGTCGGACTGCCTGCCCACAGCACCCACCAAGCCAAGTCTGAAATGGAGAGCCGACCCAAAAGCCCTTCGCACTGTCTCCTCTAAGACAGAGGTCAGCAAACCTTTTCTCGAAAGGGCCAAAGAGTAAGTATTTTAGGCTTGTGGCTCACAGGAGGTCTCTGTTATATCTTCTTTCCCTTTTACCTTAAAAAAAAAAAATCCCATAAAAATGTAGAAACCATTCATAGCTCTGGGTTTGCCCCCCAGGCCATAGTTCCTCATCCCTGTTGCACAATGGAGCAGGGCAGGACTACCATGAAGTGCCCAGGCTGTGGTGCTGAATTGGTTGGATTGGAATCTATCACCTTTATTTGCCACTTAAAATTACATAATTTCTGTGTGCATCATTTTACAAAAATAAAACTGGGGCTTGAACTCAGGGCCTTCACATGGAGCTACATCCCTACCTCTTTTTTATTTTGAGACAGGGTCTCACTAAGTTCCTTAAGTTTCCTAGTTTAGGCTCAAACTCATGAGCCTCCTGCCTCAGCCCCCCCACCCCAGTACTGAGATTATAGGTGTGTGCCACCCCGTCCAGCTACATGCATCTTCATTTTTAACATGAGAATAATAAGGACCTATTTAATGCAGGAGCTATAAGGATTAAATGAGATAATACATGGAAATCAATGAGAACATTACCTGGACATAATAAATACTCAATAACACTACTTAAACTCCAGGCTCTGTATTAGATGGAAGCCCCTATTGTGCGCAAGATAAGCTGGGGAAGGGATCACAAAATAGGAGAACTCTGAGCATGCAGAGCTTTTATCCTCAGAATATTAGATCTAGGGCCGGGGATTTAGCTCAGTGGTTCCAGCGCCTGCCTCAAAAGTGCAAGCTCCCAGTTCGATCCCCGATACCAAAACAAACAACAACAAAAGAATATTAGATCTACTAAGAAGGGCTAGCCCACTCGTTCTGTCAAAAGTTAGCTTTCCTGGCTTATACTTCTCCCTGAATGGTATGCCTCAAGGGGACAGAGGCCTTTCCTTGATCCACCCTTATAGTCTCAAAAGGGCAGAGAACAGAGCCCTCCAGAGGTGAGCAGTACCCTGCTCTCTCAGGCTACACAGTACGACAGGTAAGGTTGGCCACGGTGCCTGAGGAAGCCTGGGAACACAGGCTCCAGCTCCTGTAACACCTTCAACAGAAGGCCCTGGCCTGGGCTGGGGATTTAGCTCAGTGCGTCTGGTGCCTGCTTCATAAGCATAAGGTCCTGAGTTCAATCCCCAGTACCAAAAAAAAAGAAGGCCCTGGCCAGGACCTTTACCCATATGTGCCCTCTTTTACAGATTAGGATGAAAGGAAAATATTCATATTCTTCTGCCTATAGAGGAACAATAATGATTACACAAGGAAAAGAAAAAGACAGTAGAGCTAAAGTAGCCCCTTAACTTACTAGACAAGAAACCCAAAATAAACTTAGCCAGCTGTAACTGGTTGTAGTTTTATAATAAGAGATTTAAATTATTCTGAATATCTGACAACTTCTTAGGTGTGATAATGGTAATGAGACTGTGATAAAAACAAAAAGAAACAAAGAGACCATATGTAGGTATCTGACCTTATTCAGATAAAAACTGAAGTGTTAATGAATGGAATGATACAATGTTTGGGTTTTGCCTCAGAATAATCCAGGAGTGGGAAAAGTACAGGCACAGATGAAACAAGATTGGCTGTATTTTAACGTGACAGTTGGGCAACAGCGAAACATTCACTCACTGTACCATTCTATTTTTATGCATGATTGAAAATGGCTATAACACAAAGAACAATAAATAACAACAAATAAGCACCGCAAAGCCTAGAGTAGTAAAAACTCTCACAGAGAGAAACTGAGAGACTCAGGAGATGCAAATTCCAGATCCAGTATGGCCATTACCTTACTACAGGACTTTAGGTCAGTGCTCAAGCTTGCAGGGGCTGTTGTTTGTTTTCAGCACTGAGGATTAGGTCCAGGACCTCACACACGCTAAGCAAGTGCTCTACCACTGAGCTATTCTCCCAGCCAGAGTGTAAGGCCTGAATATGATTTACTCTCCCAACAGACTCCTGCAGAAGTTTAATCCCCAAAGGCGTATGTTAATGATATTAAAAGGATGAAGACTTCATCAGTATGGCACCTAGAGGTGGGGCCTCTAGAAAGTGATTAGGTTTAGGTAAGGTCATTAGAGTGGAGCGCCCCATAGTTGGATCCTGGTGGCTTTGCAAGAGGAACGGGGATCTGACACACAGATAACACACGTGATCCCTGTCTTGCCCTGTGATACTCTGCATCACCTTGGGAGTCTGTCAGCAAGAAGGCTATCACACCTAATAAGTTCCCTGGGCCTTGTACCTCCAGAGTCATGAGCCAAAATAAATCTTTCTACATATGTTAGCCTGCCTCCATTACTTAGTTACAGCAATAAAAAAAGATTCATACAGTCTATAACCTTCTCTGGACTTATTTCATCATCTGTGAAATGGCAGGGCCTAGCTATGTAGTTGCTCAGGTTCCTTCCTGCCACTCTCAGGACAAGCTGGCCAGTCTTCAGCCTCTACCAAAAGTTTTCCCCAAGCACAGAACAAGACCTCAGAGAGGAGATTACCTTGGATTAATTATCTCACAATAATGGAACCTCTCTTCTTGTTTTTTTTGGTACTGGGGATCGAACTTGGGTCCTTGCGCAGCAGGCGGCGACCACTGAGCTAAATCCTTGGCCCCCTCTCTTCTTGTTATAGAGGTGAGGCATGCAGACCAACTCTCCACCTGAGAACTAGAAAATCTGAACTCAATGTAAAAAGCACATTCCTGAAGGTAACAGAGAGCAAACAGGATGGCAAGGAGAGGGAGGCAGGGTTGAGAAAAGAAAGCTAAGGAGGTGAGCCCATCATTGGGGCTGCCTTTTCCCTAGAAGTCGATGCCATTACTAGAAGAGGCAATCAAGAGACTACGAAGAACATAATAAAGACTGGAGTTTAGGGCTTGTCAAGGAAAGAGAGCCTGGTAAACACCCAGACTAGTCTGGGACTTCAAAGGGCTTTTATTTCAGAATAAAGGTGGATGAGAAATAGTCTAGTTCTCACATGGAATAAGGGCCAGATTCAAATCATCTCATTTCTGTCTTTGATTAAATGAAAGTGATTCAGTGATTCAGGTGCTCTTTGGTACCCATCAGAAGTGAAGATAAATCTGGAAAAAAAGAATGTTGTCTAGATCCTTTAATTACCTCAACATTTAAAAAAAATTTACACTTTGGGAAAATTGGTAGGACACACACATACACATTGTGCTTTTGGGTGTGTGTGTGCACATGTGTGTTCACTTTCCAAGGCAGTTTAGAATCTGGCCATGAAGCCATGGCTTCTGATATGGGAAATAAATGGCAAGTAAACATGGAGTTGCTCTAGAAGATGAAAAGACATTACAGAAGGCTTAAAAATGTTATCTAAGGTGGGGAGATATTAAAGGAACAATATTAGATGAAGGAAAATAGATCTACAGTTTATAGGAAAGATTGGAGTTAACTTTTGCAAGATATCCAGTATTAGGATCATGGGAAAATAAGCAACATTAAGAAAAGCTTTGCTAGGAGCTGGTGCAGAGTGCCCTAGGAACCAGTCCACACCAAGTTCCAACCCAGCTCTGGTGAAAGAAGCAATTAGAGGGATGGGAAGAAGGTCTTGTGATACCAAAGCCACACTCCAGCCATTCAACAATTTTTCATATGATGCTATGGTTTGGATGTGGTTTTTCCCCCCAAGAATTCACATGCTGATGGTTTGGTCCTTAGTGTAGCAGTGTTTAAGTGATGGAACCTTTAAGAGATAGGGCCTAGTGCAAAATAATTATGGCATAGGGGCACTGACCTTGGGAGAGATTAATGCTGGTCTCACAGAGGAAGTTAGTTCTCAAAGGAGCAAGTTCTTACAGAAGGGCAAGCCTGGCAGCTGAATCCCTCTCACTTCCTGTCTCGCTATGTGACTGCTCTCTCTCTTGCACATGGCTCCAACCATGATGCTATCTGCCATATTGTGATGCAGCCCAGGGAACCCTCACCAGAGGCTAAACAGGGGGACTACCCAACTTTAGACTTTCAGCTTCCAAAACTGTGAGCTAAATAAACCACTAGTCTTTGTAAGTTCCTAACTTCAGGTATTTTATTATAGTAACAGAAAATGAGGTCAGTATGATAGACTTTCAATAAAAATAACTCGATACAAAAACAAGCAAGATGTGATTTAAAATAAAGAAATAACAGGTCATGAAACAGACTGATGTTAATGGAGTCATGAGACATAAACTTCAAGAAAATAACAATTTATGCAGTGAAATAAAAGGCAAGGTTGAGAATTCCATCAAAACTAGAAATTCTGAAAATGAACCAAATAGAAATCTACTAATTAAAAAGGTAAATTAGGGGCTGGGGATTTAGCTCACTGGTTCCGCCACCTGCCTCGCAAGCACAAGGTCCTGAGTTCAATCCCTGGTGCCAAAAATAATCTGAGAGGGTGTGTCCAGATTACATTTTAAAAGGTAAATTAAATTAATTAAAAATAGGAACTCAAGGAATTTTTAACAACATAGTAAACACAGGTGAAGAGACAATCAGTGAACTGAAAGATCAGACTGATAAAACAGAAAATACAGGAAAGTATGTGCCAGACAGAAAAGAGGATAAAGATCTAACAAACATAATATTGGAGTTTCACAGGAAAGAAGAAATGGAAAAGAAATATTCAAGAAGCACTATAAACTCTAAATAGGATAAAGACATATTTAGGGACAACACCAAAATTGCTGAAAATCAAAGACTTTTTTTTTTTTAACCAAACAAGCAAAAAACACCCAAATCTTGAAAGCAACAAGATGAAAAGACACCTTACATTTAAACAATATGGCTTTCAGTAATTTTTTAACACTGCAAGAACAATAGAAGCCTGATACAATAGAATGATATCTTTAAAGTCCCAAAAAGAAAGTAACTACAAATCTAGAACTCACCACTTAGCAGTTACCCCTCAAAAATGAAGATCAAATGAAAACACTTTCAGATAACCAAAGATGAGTAAGATCCATCATTAACAAACTCATACTAGAAATACTAAGGGCAGATGTTCTTCAAGCGGCATATAAACAATCCAAGTTATGAGAAGAAATGAACAACAACAAAGACAAATGTTAGGGGTAAATCTAAATTAACAACCAAATAAAACAATGCTATAATGTCCTGTTGATGTTAAATAAAAATGCTTGTCAATAATTCTACGTGTCAGGGGTCAGTGAAAAATGGAATTTAGCCCTGATAAGAACTTTGTATTGTCTAATAAGAGGTAAAAAGTATTAGCTTGTATTAAATTTCAGTGAGCCAATCTCTAGCAGTCTTCTCAATTAGAGAATTAAGCCCCAATTTATGAGGCCTTCAGTGTATATAATAAGTTCACTTTCTTCTTATGCATCCAAAATGATACCTAGCCACATAGCATCCTTTAGAGAATTGAGAAAATAGTCACTCAAATCTCTTTCTAGGGCTTGATTTTTCTCGAGATACCTAGGTAAGAGGACTGCTAAAGTGATCATTAAAGAGAAATATTTAAGTATTTATCTAATAAACTAACAAGTGGAGAAATGGAATAACAGTGGGAGGGAGAGGAAAAGGGACATAGCATAGGAAAGGCAGGATGATATAAACAGAAAGCTAACAGTACATGCCAGATTTCAACCCAAGTGTATCAGCAGAATCTTTAAAAGTAGAACTCAGAGAAGCAGAAAGTAGAAGGGTGGGCCGGGGATTTAGCTCAGTGGTTCCAGCGCCTGCCTCGAAAGCGCAAGGTTCCGAGTTTGATCCCCAGTACATAAAAAAAAAAAAAAAAAGTAGAAGGTGGTTACTCAGGCCTGGGACTTGAAGTAGGGACTTCAAAGCTATTGGTCAAAGGAAACATAATTTTAGTTAGAAGGAGTAAGTTCAATAGACCTATTGTGCAACATGGTGATTTTCATTAATAACAGTGTACTGTATACTTGGAAATTGCTAAAAGCAGATATGAAATATTCTCACCACACACAAAATAAGTATACCTAGCAAAGTGTGGTGGCACACGCCTGTAATCTCAGCACCCTGGGAGGTTCAGGCAGGAGAATCAAAAGTTCAAGTCCAACCTGGGCAGCTTAATGACTTAGCAAAACCCTGTCTCAAACTGTTTTTTTTATTTTTTTTGGTACTGGGGAATCAAACTCGGGTACTTGCCCTTGTGCAGCAGGCAGCTCAAACTGTTTTTTAACAAACAAACAAACAAAAAAATTTTAAGGGCTCTTGATCAATTAAAGGCCCTAGGTTCAATTCCTAGTATGGTGGGCGGGGAGAGTATCTAAGGTAATGAATATGTTAATTAGCTTGATTTAGCCATTCCACAGTGTATACCTCTATCAAAACATCATCTTGTATATTATATATACAATTTTTATTAGTAAACAGAAAAGTGTAAACTGTCTTCATGTCCTAATTAAAAGACAAAAGTTGTTAAACTAGAGCATATAACAAACTCCAATTGTATACTACTTGAAAAATATTCCTTAAGTGAAGAATACAGAAAATATGAAAGTAAAAGGATTGAAGATACACCATGCAAATACTAACCAAAAGAAAGTTAAGAATCAGACAAAGTAGACTTTAAAAGGTAAAATAGCACTAAAGATAAAAAGAAAGCTTTCATAATGATACAGTATCAAATCCAGTTCTAAATAAGTATCTAAGGGCTGGGGATTTAGCTCAGTGGCACTGTGCCTGCCTCAAAAACGCAAGGTCCTGAGTTCAATCCCTAGTTTGAACTCAGCAAATAAGTATCTAATAGTATTGCCACAAAACAAATAATGATATGAGTAAAAGAAAAAATGGACAAACCCTCAATCCTGGTGGGGATTTTAAGGTATATATCTCAGTCCTGACAGAACACACAAACATCTCTATATCCCAGTACATCCTAGTAGCAGAGGGCTTTGGACCACATTAGAAAGCAGTCAAAATTTGCTGACCCAAAACAAAAGAGATTCATACATCCTAGATTTTCTCAGATGGTCTCAATTTCAAGTATAAACCTGATTCATCCCCCCATATATCCAGAAGTTTGGTTTGGAAAATAAAAATATTATCACCACAGGCTCCCTGAAACCGTCTGACACTGTCACATTCTCCTGTTTCCCATAGTGTCCTAGGCCGGGAAGTATGCTTCTTACCTGAGCTGGAGCATCTGTCCCCGGGATACGGGTGGACCGCCTGCGGGTAACAATAACTGAAGGCTTGTGCTCAGTAGGGTGCTGTTCTGGATCCTTCCCATCCTCATCAACAACTCCAACTTGGGCCACCTCAGTTGGATCCAGAGTCCGCACAGGCACAGACACTGGGATGATGAGGGGTACCAGCCCAGGGTCTTCTCGTGCTCGCTTGGCAGCTAAGGATGGCTCAGAAAACTCCACCCCACACTTGGTAGTTGAGGTCAACACACTTTTTCGCTTCTCCTCAGAGCCGTTGGCATCCTGGAGAAAAGGGGGTTTGAGGGGAAGAGAGAGGTTTAGAAGATGAGTCCTGATTTGCTAAACTATTTACTCCAGGGACTCAAATACCCACCGTGGATCCCACTTTTCTTTGGCAAGCCAGCCTTTCCCTGACCACTTCTCCTACCATAGTTCAAATTCTCTATAGCCTCTCTTCTGCCAGCTCCTTCCATCCTGGAGCAGAGGTCCCCAGAAAGCCATCTCAGGCCACAAGAGGCTCACAAATGTGTTTCATTTGGTCTGTACAGTGTGTGGCACATAACATAGCATCTAAATTTTTTTTTTTACATCTCTGAAAAAGAAAGTTAGCAAGAAAGCTATGGCAAGGTAAAGGGTAATTTTTGCATCTATTTCTCCATGGGTATCTGGCAAGAGTGGAGTCTGGCTGTCCTTAAACATAGGACAAACTCTCCATCTTCCCACATATCAGCCTGGGCCTAAGGGCATCAGCAGTTGAGATTTCTGGTGAAAGAAAGGCAAATGCTGGCTCTGGGAGCAGATACAAGGCTTCCATTTCAGCTGCGAGGCCTGGGCGATCCCACTTGGGGATCAGCTTCTCTTGCTGGAAGACGGGGATAGATGACAGAACCCTTCTCACTGGGTTTGATCATAAATTATTTGTGATCAGGTATTAAAAACTCCAAGCACAACACAGTGCACTTATCTATTCTTCCTCCTGATTACTATTATCTTTTTTAAAAATTAATTTTATTGCAGTATAATTTACATACAATAAACCGGTCTATTTTAAATCACATTCCAATGTATTTTGACAAATATAATCACTGTGTAACCACCACATCACATTCCTGTCTTTTAGTGTTTTGGATCTGGAAATGGTCTTTCATTCCCCTACTCTCAATCCTCAGGTCACCAAACTTTCCTGCCTGTCAATCCTCTGTGTGTATAAACCTCGGGTCCCTCAGGTACAGATGTCTTGTGTAAGGGTTCTCTGCATGGAGAAGTTCTTAACTTTCCTTCGGTGAACTGAAAAGACTGTTGTGAGCCCAGTGGCATTGCTACCCTTCCCCCCAGCCCCTGCCAGGTCTGGCCCCAGTGCTCATCTCACCTTTGCGTTCTGCAGCGAGGCCAGCTCCACCGCCTTCTGGGCCAGCGTCAGCAAATTGGCCTCCTGGGATGCCCGGCGCCTCCGTCTTGTGCTCTGGATCACCCCACCTCGTAGCACCTGTCCACAGTCCCCTGTGCCCCCTGCTCTCATGCCCTCCTCGTTGCCCATGGCAGGAGCCTCCCGTTCCCGACCATTGGGTGCCAGTCTCTCCCCATCAGACAGCAGCTGTGACTCTCGCAGTTCCATTGGGAATCCCAGAGCTTCGGGATGGGGCTGCCCCAGGGAGCTGGGAGGTGGCTGCGGCAGAGGCCAATGATGAAGAAACAGATTGCCTGTGTGCTCCTGCCCAGGTTGGGTGCTAGCCCCATCCAGGGCGGTGGGAGGCAGGATGCCCTCCTTCGAGAGGCGGCGGGAGCGGCGGGGAAAGGCCATCTGGGGCTGAGGTAGCACAGGCTGCGGGGCTGCCTCCTGCAGGAGGGCCTTGCGCAGTTCTGGGTTCATATCTGGGTTGTGGGGGAAGGTGTAAGGGGCCATGCTGGGGTGGGTCAGGTGAGATTGCCCCAGTGGCCCTACTGGTGGCAGGCCGAAGTCCTGGGGCTGCTGAGAGGGCGGCTGCTGCATGGAGTAGAAGTTGTCAAAGAGCTGCATCTGGGGTAGGGCGGCCTGCTGCTGCTGATGCTGATGCTGTTGCTGCTGCTTCTGCGGGGGGAAGGCAGCAGGGTTGGGGGGCGGCGGGCCCTGCCGGAAGACCTGCCGGTTCACCTGGTGCCCAAATGCCAGCTGGAAGGGCTGCAGGGGCAGTGTCTGGTTTGGGGGTTTCTTGGCTGCATGGAAAGAGTTCAGGGGCACCTGAGGCTGCCCTACCTCCAGCTGCACTTTCTGTGGCATCATGGGCCGCACCGCATTTCCATAGCGGTCCAGCTGTGAGGCCCCAGCTTTGTCCCGCTTCAGTGCCTCAGGGTGGTTATAGTAGGCAGAGGCCCCCACAGTGGGATGAGGGCTTCCCTTGGGTCCACCGTAGAGGGACAGGCGGGTCCATGTGGAGTGAGGTGGTGGCTGGCCAGGCTGCTGCTGCCAGCTGCTGTCGCTGACGCCCCCACCTGCTCCCCGCTCTGGGCCCCGCCCTGGAGCCATCACAGAGTTGGGCCACTTCACTGAGCCCACTTGCTGGGACAACATAGCTGCTGGGTTCCGCTCAGACCCATATACCACAGAGTTCAGCAGGGCCAGGCTGCTGGGAGGCGGCAGCTCCACAGGCTGAGAGGTGGAGGCAGCCCCTCCCGGACCCTCGTGGCCCCCGTACTGCTCCTCCTTCACGCGGATGGACTGCGGTGGGGCCTGCAGGGGAGGCGGCTGTTCCTTGGGAGCTGGCTCTTGCTCAACAAAGAGGCAACGCTTGCGCTTGTTCTGAGCCTTGGGCTGGGCTTGGAGGTTCATGGTGTGGCCAACTGAGCCCCAGCAGTGAGAACTACTTCACCAGTTGCCCATCCCCTGGGAAGAGATCCTGCTAGAAGTCTGGTCCTGTCGACAGTGAGGACAGTGGGATCAGACAAAGATGCTGGACAGTGGAGTCAGGCACGGGCAAAGACCTGTTCTTCCTTCCTCTTCCAGAGAGGCTCGTGGCTACTATTCCCAGTTCATGATGCTCCACAGGGTCCTGGAGGCTGTAGAGGGGACAGCAGTGACACTGTCAGCTACAGATCCCTGGTGTCAGCACCCCAAGGCCTTCTGGTTCCACAGGAACACTGGTGAGAGAGGAGCTGGGACCCACAGGGGAGCTGCCAGGAAGGCAGCAGACTCAGCAGCTGAGATACTCCATCACTCTGTGCCACCAGCCCCTGGTTAGGCTCCAGAACTGCTGCATTTGGTGTGATCTGTACACTGCACAAAGGCACATGGGGAGGGGGCGAGTGGGGCTGACATCCAGCCTAAGACCCAAAGCAAGCTGGGAAAAGGCTACATTGAGCTCTCTTGTTCTCTTAAACCAGGCCCCAGGCCCCTGGGTGGTCAGGCTGGGTCCTCTTTGCACATCTGTCTATGCAATAGCTTCCCACCAGAGCCCAGACAGTGCCTCCTCCTGACATTCCAAGCACATCCCAGACACAGGAAGTGGGAAGGACAGGGTTCATTCCCAGCACAGCCACCCCTCCAGTACAGCCTCAGCAAGGCTTCTCAGAGTCCAGGGCCCAGAGCCAGGCTCACAGAGGCATGTAGGTGAGGCCCCACCCTTGGGAAGAGCTGCTGGGTGAGGCTCTGGCTACCACAGTCTTTCTCAACTAGCACAGAACCTGTTTTGCAGCCCTGGCTGGCTTGAGGCCCAATCTAACCCAGTAGCTGATCAGTAGCTGCGGGTGCCCCCCCTCCAAGTGCTAAAGAGACCCTGGCATTCAGAGCCAACAGTCTAACTTGGACATGAGGGGTACAGATTGCTAGAACTTAAGTCCAGAAGGTTTCTCCATGATGTCATGATGAAAGCGCTCAGTTTTGATTTGATAACTTGATTTTGGGGGAGGGTGCTAGGGATAGAACCTAGGGCCTCAAAAAAGCTGAGTACCTGCTCTGTCACCAAGCCACACCCCAGCCCCTCTAACCTGATTTTTTTAAAGGGCTGCTCTACTGATCCAGCTACAGAACAGAATCCAGGCCTCTATTTTATAACTGACATAGCTGCTCGCATGTACTTTTTAAAGACTTTTTCTTTCTTCAGAAAGATTTTTTTCTCCTAGGAAGCTGGTGAGAGTGGGAAAGTGGGTTCCTTGGGAGTGCCAAAGTAATACTCTGGTCCTGGTCCCTAGGATCGGGAGGGGACAGCCGGGGTGGCAAGCTCAGGTTGCTTTGGAAAATAAATCTGCAGGTCCAGGTGACCTTATTCCCTGGAAGCTCCTGGTCACTGTTAGCAAGAAACCAGCAGAGGGCAGGAGCTGGGTGGGTAAAAAGCCCTGTCTACACCAGTGCTGGCCCAGCCCCTTGTCTGGTGCTATCGCTCCTCTGCACGCTTCCGCAGCTCCAGCCCTGCTCCCAGGCCTGCCAGCCTGCCTGGTGTGACTCACTGGAGGCCCCTCCTCGTCTTTCACTTTCACCCAGCACCCAGAAGCAGAGTAACTTCCTCCTCCATTTCCTTCCTCGGCGCTGGGCCCAGGACCCAAAAGGCGATGAGAGCCCCTGCTGGTGTGCAATCCCTTTGTCAGTATTTACGGAAGTTTCCAAGAGGGAGTGAGAAAGAGACCAGCAGAACATTCAGCAGGAGAGAGGTGATTTGGGAAAGAAGCGGGGGGAGGGGTGGGGGGAGACGGGGACGACGATGACACAATCTTTTGAGCAAATCCCTTTTCCTTGCTTTAAAATTCTCTTTCCCTGACAGCCAACCCAACTCAGAGCAGAAACCCAAAAGCCAGCCCCAGACTGAATGGGTCTCTGTGAGGCCACAGGGTGGGACTGTGGCTCTTCCTCTCCTCAGGAGACTCAAGCCCAGTGAACTGGAAGTATAGTATGTGTCTGCAGAAGCAAGTCAGGGAGGGGTGGCTGAGAGCCCAGGAGGCCCACGTGCCTCCAAGGGGCTTGCTACAAGCTCTGGGGTGCTCACATGCACCATGCCTTCCCTCATCACCACCCCGTCACCCTGTGAGCCACAGCATGGGCTTGGGCCTAAAGCAAGGAGAGGCCCACGTGGCAGGCAGGCCTGGGTGCATGTGCCATGAATGTTTGATAGAGAGGCCCCAGCAGGGGAATGGCCACTTAAATACCTAGTGCAGGGTTTGGGGGAGACAAGAGTAGTGTTTGTGAATGGGGCTCCAGGACTTGGCTGTTCCTGCTCAGGAGAAGCTGGAGGCCAGATGCAGGGTCGGAGGGGCTGGGCTCGGCTGCTCAGCCTCCTACCCACACTCCTGCACATCAAGGAGGGTCATCTTTCAGGACATCGAAGTAGGTTTCTGCAGTTCAGAACAAACCTGCAGGCCTGATTTAGGGGAAGCTGAATCAACCCAGAAGCTTCCTGCTGCAGAGGCCTCTCTGTCACCCCCACTAGAGAGCTGAGACTGCCAGGGATCAGACACCAGGCCTGGGTTCCCCAGAGAAGAAAGGTCATCATCTGAGGGATGAAAAGAGTGGAAGATGCCTGGGAATCTAGGCAGAGAGGGGAGGGGACCACCCAGGCTGAGGGAACTGAATGGCAACAGCAATAATAACAGTGTGCCTGTGCCAGGAGGGTCCTAAGTGCTTTGCATTCTTTTCAATTCCCAGGATCGAATTATAAGGCAGGCATTGCTCTTTTAACCTCCATTTTGTAGGTAAGCTTAGCCCCCTCAGAGGGGCTAAGTAACTTGCCATAGTCACACATAATTATGTCTCCGAGCTAGGATTTAAAGGCAGATGTCCCTCTCCAAGATCAAGCTCTTATGCCTCATCCCCATGACACACCACTAAGACCCCGGGTCCTACTGCACACACCTTTCTACAGTACACTCATCTTCCAGGAAGCGGGAAAGGGGCCACACCCCAGAGGGTCCAGCAGGCTTGTGAGGTCCAGCTGCAGCGTGCCAGATACAACACCTCCTCCACTCCCTGGGCCTGGGCTGTCCTAACCCTCCCTGCAACTCCACCTCTACAACCCCACCCCTGCAGCCCCATCCCTGGCCCAGTTCTGGTTGCTGGGGGGGGGGGCACAACTTCCAGCTGTGGGAGCTCACTGGTATCTCCCAGCCTGCGACCCAGGAACAGGACTGAGCCATTTCCTCCATTTCTTCTGCCCCTCCCCGACTCCTCTCCCTCAAGTGGAAGGAAGTCAGCCTGGCCTTCCTCACAGCAAGGAAGAGGAAAGAAGCCACCTTCTCCAAAGGCTGCCAACCTATGGACTGGGCCAAGTTCCAGAGGTGCAGGGAAGAGGAGATATTGAGAAACCCCTGCAGGCAGCTCGCCCCAGGATCATCCGCAGGCCTCTGACAACGGATGCAAGCACATTGTAAAAGGAAACCCACAGCACCAAGGGCCCCATTCTCGCAACCCATCCTGTCACTCTGAGAAACTGTCAAGCGCTCTTCATTTTTCCCTTCTCCAGCCTCCTCTCTGCTGCAACCAGTCCTTGACCAGCATCATGAGTCCCCGGGGGCTGAAGACAAGGCCAAGAGTCATTATCAGTGGCTTAGGAACTATGAGGCCTCCAAGAAAACATCTATAGTAAGAAGCACTTCCTCTACAGAAGAAAGCAGTGTGAGCCAAGGAAAAAAAGCAGCCCTGAACCCAAAAATGGGTTCTGCAGACACGTTAGGAGAAGGTGCTAGAAAGGCCTTAGGTACTCTGTGCTCTGGTTACCGTGCTCTGCAGGGATGGCAGCTCCAACACATATAGTTTCCCAAGTGCCATCAGTGTCCCAGCTGCATGTCCAACACTGGCCCACCCAGGACATTCCAGTGAGCCCTCATCACAGGCAAGAGGCCAGACTGTGGCCACTAAGGGGGCTGGGCCACCCTCCAGCCATTTGGGACATTCACTGTGTTCATCTGAGAAAAAAGACTGCTATGAGCCAAGGTCACACAGGCCAGGGAGGAGGTGCTCTGCTTGACCCCAGTGGCCACAGGTACTCAGCTCTGACCTGGAGGTAAGGCCTGACTGCATAACACCCTTGGAGACTTGTGCTCCAAGGTACTGCTCTCAAACCTGGGCCACCCCAGGGCTGCTAACTTAGCACTGGGAAGCAGGGGTTGAAGCTCATGCATCTCCCCCACCCCCAAGGGAAAGACAGGCTCCAACAAGCCTCTGAGCTCCAGGTGAATACCAAAAAAGCTGTCCTGGGACAAAGTCTGAACTCCCTACCGCACTCACAAGACCCTAAGGTCTTAGGCTCCGGCCACCTCTCTCAGCATGCCATGCTTGAGCTGCACAGTCAGGGCCTGCAACATGCTATTCCCACTTTGCTTCTAGGTCTCTGAGGAAGATGTACCACTGCCTGTGAGACCTTCCCACTCATTTCCTCTGGCCAAGACCTCCTCATCCTTCAAGTCTCAGACACGGCTTCCTCTGGGAAGCTCCCCTGACCCTGAGGCTGAGACAGGAACTGCAGCGAGTTCATCACACCGCCTGACCTCACCCCCACATGCTCAGCACACTAAGTCCCAGGTGCCCGCTTCCTCATTCCCAGCAGAAGGCGCAGAGTTTGCAGACTTTGACACTTTGTCTGTAGGTGGCTCGTGGGATGCTCATTTAAGGCGGCAACCAAGGTGAATTAGAGCAAGCCCAGACAGAGGTGCTGCTCACAGCCAGGTGTCCAGCCTAGGCCCCTGCCTGGTCCTGAGGCTAATCTCCATTCCAGAAGCAAAGCAGAGCTCCCTAGGAGGCTGAGAAGACATGAAAAGGCCCAGCCTCGGACCACACCCCACTTCACAGCCCAGGCCCTTTCCAACAGAGCTGAATACAATCTTTCTCCAATGACTGGGCCATGAGCCACTACACCTAGGCCACCTGTAAAAGTATCAACTTCCCACCCCTGCCAGACCATGGCCAAGAACAAGAGCCTTGAGATCTGTTTACCTTATGCCCTGACATGGCTGGGCTGGAACACAAAACACCAAGGCTGGGACATGCCTATAATCCCAGCTACTCAGGAGGCTGAGGCATGTGGATCAAAAGTTGGAGGCCAGCCTGGGCAATTTATTGAGACCCTGTCTCAAAA